TAACTTTAGCATCACTAAAGTTGGTATACAACCCCCCCATAGCTAAATTTGACTGGCTAAAGACAAAAAACAAAATTAAAGGTGGCATTTCAAATTGTTGGATAGTCTGTGATTTAGGGACAGCTGAATAGATGTTTGAAAGAAAATAAAGTTGAATCCATGCTTCATACTTTGTGCTAGTTTCAAAAATTTAAAAATAAAAAAAGCCATGAAAATCCTTTCATGAAGAAACCATGGAAGGATTATTTTATAATCTAAGGGTGGCTTTCTAAGAATATGAGAAAACTCAGAAGGCATAAAAGATTGAATTTTTACTAGACAAAAATAATTTTCTGCATGGCGTAAGCTACCATAAGCAAAGATAAATAGAAGATCACAAACTGCACAAGAACTTGCAGTTAACAGACATATAGCTAATTTATCATCATATATAAAGAGCACTTGGATAAAGAAATATGAAAAGATCAATATAATTTTAAAAATTGGCAAACAATATGCTCTGACAGTTCACAGAAAAGGAAATAATAGATCATAAATATATGAAAAGATGCACAATCATAATAAAGTCTTTTTGTTTTGTTTTTTTTAGAGACAGGGTCTCTCTCTGTTGCCCAGGCTGGAGTGTAGTGGCCTGGTGATAGCTCACTGCAGCCTCCAACTCCTAGGCTCAAGCGATCCTCCTCCTCAGCCTCCCAAGTAGCTGGGACTACAGGTGCGCACCTCCATGCTGGCTAATTATTTAAAAAATTTTTATGTAGAGATGGGGGTCTCACTGTGTTGCCTAGGCTGGTCTCACGTAAGTGATCCTCCCACCTTGGCCTCTCAAACTGCTGGAATTACAGGCATGAGCCACCATGCTGGCCAGGAATTGTAATTAAACTGAAACACCATATTTTCACCCCTTAGATTGTCAATGATTTTAAAAAGCCAACTTGATTCAGTATGTTGGAGAAGATGTGGGAAAACACATACTCTTATATTACTAGAGTGGAATTTGGCTAATTTAGTAGTATTTCTCAACAAAGCAAATTTTACTTCTGAGAATATTTTTAAGAATTGACCCCAAATTATGTATGTTTAGTGTTGCTCAGACAGTATTGTTTCTTATAAAAAAAATTTAAAGAAAACCTCAGTGTCTGTCAGGAGGCGACTGGTTAACAATATGTTAAGTAGCAGCCATGTAATGGAACACCTAATTGCTATAAAATCGCTGGGAAGCTTTTCGTGTATTGATATACAACAATCTAAAATATATATTCTTTTTTTTTTTTTTTAAAGAGGTGGGTCTCACTCTGTTGCCCAGGCTGGAGTGCAGTGGCACAATCATAGCTCACTGTAACCTTGAACTCCTGGGCTCAAGCAATCCTGCTGCCTCAGCCTCTGAGTAGTTGGGACAACAGGCACATGCCACCATGCCTAGCTAATTTTTAAAATTTTTTGTAGAGGCAAGGTCTTGCTGTGTTGCCCAGGCTGGTCTCACTCCCAAAGTGTTGGGATTATAGGAGTGAGCCACCGCACTTGGCCTAAAATATATATTCTCGAGTGAACTTTAGTAGAGAACTGGGTGTATATTATGGTATCATTTGTTTAAAGGTGGGGAAGGTCAGGAAAATAGGTACATGTGGGTAAATACGTATCAGCTATCTCTGGATGATAAACAAGAAACCGATAGCATCCAGTTGCCTGTGGAGAACTGGTAGCTGGGGAAAGAAGTATGAGGGAGATTTCACTTTTGAATTTTGATTTAAAACTTTAGATTTTAAATTTGTTTAATACTAGGGACTATTAACTTAGAGTCAAAATACATTCTGTGAAAGGGAGGATAGAGGGCCAAGATAAAAGAAAGTAGAAGATGGATAAAGAAACACGTTTAAAAATATTGGCTTGAATTAGGGTGTACTCAAACTCTGGTGTTGAATTGTCTCTGTATTAACCTGGAGCCAGTTATCCATTATTTTGCTTGCTGCTTGATATTCCAGTTAGCTAATTATCCACTGTTATCAGTGCCATAACTGTTGACCTGAATACCTGTTTATACATAGACCAGTCAAAAATGCAACCTTAAATAAAACACAACTTCAATGGTCTCGTAATATTTTCTCCCTAAGTCACAAAAATGGAGTTGTTGACATATAAAAATAGTTTACAGTTTCATGCTACCTGCTTCACAGAATAGAAGGAAAACACCCTTTCTGTTAAAAGCAATTAAGAAATGTTGAGAATTCTACACTTTAGGTAATAATTGAAATACTTTTTAATGCCAATTTTATCTACTTTACATGTTTTAAAACATCTGGTTGAGAGAAAAAAATACCTGGTTTATTTGTTTTTCAAAATGTTTTAATACATTAGTTAAATGTTTATCTCTAGGCTTTGGCAAATGGAATGTAAATTGCAACTGTATTTCTATAGTAGTTTCATATGTTCTGTGATCGTGTGATATATTTTCTTGAAACTAAAGGTATTTTAAAAAGGAAGTTTATGTTATTCTGATATTCCTTAGATACAATTTAATTAAAGAACTTAGAGAAAGCATTGTTTGCCCTTGACTTGTTGCAGTTTGATTTTCTACTTGGTATAAAAAACAATTTTATTTATGGATAAGTTTGAAATTTTAAATTGATAGGTATGAATGGTTTTAAGTTCATTAAAACCTTCCCCAAATGGTATTTAGATTTATTTGCTTAATTTAAGGGATCCACATATTATTAAGAAATATTTAGCTCTGGGAGGCCGAGGCGGGTGGATTGTTTGAGCTCAGGAGTTCGAAACCAGCCTGAGCAAGAGCGAGACCCCGTCTCTACTAAAAATAGAAAGAAATTAATTGGACAACTAAAAATATATAGAAAAAATTAGCCGGGCATGGTGGCGCATGCCTGTAGTCCCAGCTACTCGGGAGGCTGAGGCAGGAGGATCACTTGAGCCCCGGAGTTTGAGGTTGCTGTGAGCTAGGCTGACGCCACGGCACTCACTCTAGCCTGGGCGAAAGAGTGAGACTCTGTCTCAAAAAAAAAAGAAATATTTAGGTTTGTGTGTTTTACTTTGATTACAACCAATTACAAAGCATAGCCCTGATCATTTGCTTTTGTATAAGGATACACTAGTTATGTGGAGAATAGGTATATTTGAGCATTTACATTAGTTAAAATATTTTTCTCAAAACTGTTGACTTTTAGTCTAACAGTACAATAGTATAAACCAAGAATGAACTTCTAGATGACTGCCTCTAGTTTATTGGCTACATAGTTAGTTTAGAGATGGGCAACGTGGTTTTCTGGATAAATTAAGCTGAGATGAGATCTCTCCCTTTAGTATGTATCCTATAATACCGCGTTTTTAGCTGGAGTCTGGGTGATGTCTTTCTTTCTTTTCTTTCTTTCCTTTCTTTTTCTCTCTCTCTTTTTTCTTTTCTTTTTTTTACTGTTATTTGCATTTATTTTATGTTGCATCTGTTCTGGTGCCATAAGTTTTTATTTCTTCGGTTTCTTCTGGATTATCTTTCTTCTGTGCAACCTCCTCTTCTGGTTTCAAAACAATTTGTTTCTTTTCAGTGAGGATCATCTCAATGTGGCAGGGGGAGCTCGTGTATGGGTTCTTCCAACCATGAGCTCTGTAAGTTTGCATCTTGGACACTTTGTTCAACCTGGATATGCTCAATAACCAGAGAATCTACGTCTAAACCCTTAAGTTCAGCATTATTCTCTGCATTTTTAAGCATGTGCAGCAAAAATTAACTCTTTTTGGGCCACCAACCCTGTGTCCAGCCCCACTGTTTGGCCTGAAGAATTACCATTGTAATTTTGGAACAGTACACATTGTTTTTTTAAAGTGACATCTTTCAAATACTTGGTGGCTTTTTGTTATATGCATACCCTTGATGGCCTGGGCAGTTTTACTAGTGTTCTTAAAATGAACATAAAGATTTGAACCTCTTGACTTGCGTGATTTTGTGGTGTTTTCTGGGTCAAGTGAATAGAGAACTATTTTCACAGATCACCTCAGGCCACTTAGGGGAAGGGGTTTCTTTTTTTTAAGACAGGGTCTTGCTCTGTTGCCTGGACTAGAGTATAGTGGCATTATCGTAGCTCACTGCAACTTCAAACTCATGTGCTCAAGCAATTCTCCTGCTTCAGCCTCACAAGTAGCTGGGACCACAGACATATGCCACCATGCCTAGCTAATTTTTCTATTTTTTGTAGAGTCGAAGTCGCTATTGCCCAGGGTGGTCTTGAGCTCCTGGCCTCAGGTGAATCCTTCCAGCTCGGCCTCCCAAAGTGCTAGGATTACAGGCGTGAGCCATGGCACTCAGCCCTGTGGGTGATTTTTCAGATGTCTGAATTAAATTTACAAAGTAAAAATAGATATTTTATACTATTTCGGGGGTTTTGGCCAATTAAGAAAGCATATGGCAAATTCTAATTGTATTCAAGAAATAATTAGCAAACATAACACTTAAACGTGCTAGTTATAGTCTGATAATTTTTTTAAATATTAAAAGTAATTATAGGCCGGGCGCGGTGGCTCCCGCCTGTAATCCTAGCACTCTGGGAGGCCAAGGCGGGTGGATTGTTTGAGCTCAGGAGTTCGAGGCCAGCCTGAGCAAGAGCGAGACCCCGTCTCTACTAAAATTGGAAAGAAATTAATCGGACAACTAAAAATATATAGAAAAAATTAGCCGGGCATGGTGGCGCATGCCTGTAGTCCCAGCTACTCGGGAGGCCGAGGCAGGAGGATCGCTTGAGCTCAGGAGTTTGAGGTTGCTGTGATCTAGGTTGATGCCACGGCACTCACTCTAGCCTGGGCAGGAGAGTGTCTTGCCCACTTTTGAGACAGTGTCTCACTCTTTTAACTGTTTGATGATAAATTGATTTCTGAATATGAAATAATTTTTTGTTTAATGAAGACATTTGTAAAAAAAAGTATTATTTCTATATTGCCAACCTTAATAGCTCCCCAGATTCCTTTAACTATATTGGTTGTGATGTTTTCTTCTTTTTTAGAATTGTCTCTGTGGGAAGTTTGTCCTCCGTCCGTTGCGACCATGCCGTAGATACTCTACTTCAGGCAGTTCTGGGTATGTAGGATGTCTCCATATAACCAGGGCTTTCAATTGCTTCTCGGTCTTCTGGCTAAGATCAAGTGTAGTATCTGTTCTTACCAATTTAATAACCAGGCCTTTCACTGTGTGCTGCTTAGGAGGGTGTTTTCCTTAAATAGGGGAATAGCTGCCTAACACCTCTTTTTAGTATATGACCCTAAAGCTTTGCTGTATTATTGTTGGGGTACTTTCTGGAGTGTTGTTTATTTGTAGGTAAACTATGTTGATGATGCATCTTTTGGTAATTGGGTGATGCACAAGGCAGACCCTCCCTACTGTGTGCTGTCTTCCATGCTGTGGGAAATAGATTTATTTCCAGAGCTCAGCATGTTGTAACTTAAACAAGTATTTGTTTGTTCTATTTAATATTTTATTATCTTTTAAAAAGAATTTATTATGTTTACAGAAATGTTTAATCAAGGGAGGGGAGCCTTGAAAGTTAGTGATAATTGTTTTTCTTTTAATGGTTCAAAGGAAATCTCACGATTGTGAACATCTTGAGATTTAAGTGTTAAAGGGTAGATTGCTCCATTCTTTCTATCCTAGATATTTTGTTTATAAAAATGTTTAGTTTTCATAATTAAATGTTATTATTTTCTATTGTAAACATGTTAGAAACAAATCATGGAAAAGTGATGTGCTACTGTTCTGGTAAACTTGGCTGCTATGATCTTAGTTAGTGGTAGAGAAGTAGAGGTTAGAGGTCTTTGAGACTCTTACATTGGTATAGGAAAGTAGGTATTGGAGAGCCAAGCAATAGAAATGTGTTTCCTGTTTTCTTTCACTTAGGTTGACTACTGGCAAAATTGCTGGAGCTGGCCTTTTGTTTGTTGGTGGAGGTATTGGTGGCACTATCCTATATGCCAAATGGGATTCCCATTTCCGGGAAAGTGTAGAGAAAACCATACCTTACTCAGACAAACTCTTCGAAGTGGTTCTTGGTTCTGCACCTTATAATGTTCCATTGCCAAAGAAGCCGGTAAGAGTTTTAAACAATGTTGCAATTTATCCAATGGAGTATTTTAAAAGCAGGTTGTTTTCATCTCAAAATACAGTTGTCTTTGGTATCCGTGAGGGATTAGTTCCAAGACCTCCTGCAATTACCAAAATCCCATGGATACTCAAATCCCAGATACAAAATGGTGTGGTATTTGCATATAGCCTATGCACATCTTCCCATATACTTGAAATCATCTCTAGATTACTTATAATACCTAATACAATGTAAATGCTATGTAAATAGTTATACTGTATTATTTAGGGAATAATGACAAGAAAAATCTGTACATGTTCAGTACAGATGCAATTTTTTTAAAAAATATTTTTGATCTGCAGTTGGTCAAATCCATAGATGTGGAACCCATGGATATGGAGAAGCAACTATATTTTGTATGTATAATTCAATGCAACTTACCAGCTGTGTGTTTGTTAGTTCTCTTTAAACTGAACTAATAGTAATGAGTAGAGATGGATTTTTATCTTTTTGGAGTTCCGTAAGTATTCTCAGTTAGTACATACCACATAGAAAGTAATTGTGCAAGGGTAAATGGAGGGGACAGTTTAGGTGGAGGTAACTGTGGCTGCTCTGTGGACTGAGGGGGATCTTTATATCAGCCCACACTGGTGTAGCTATCAAGGTCTTTCTTAGAACACTATGAACATAAATGTGGAATGGTCATGACCCAGAACCAACATGTTATGGTTAGTAATGGCACCTTTTAGACCATAAAACAGTCACAGAATTTTCAGCTACATGCTGATTGCTTGATAGGGATATCTTATATTTCTGAAACTTCGTGCATATTCTTCAGACTTTCACTCTTTATTCCCCCCCCCCAATTTTTTTAAACTCTCATCTTAAGAATTTCTTCAAACACAGCTTCTTGTAAACAAAATCTGTTAAAAGAGCATGGATTTTTGGCTGTTTGTTACTGGACTTTTTTTTATGCTATGAGGCTGGACATGGCTGATCAGTTCTTTTTTAGAAAATGGGTGGATTTCTGTTCTTTAGGATCTAGCATGGTCTAGAGACCAATCGTATAACAAAGTTAATATTTGGAAAAGCAAGCGACCTCTGACTGCCTCGCCATACTCCACCCCAACCATGCTGTTTCAGAGTGTTCTTGGCTAGTCTTGTACATCATTTATTCTTCCATATGAGCTTTCCTACACTGGCTGAGGGAGACAGTTTTGCAGCTTCAGTAATCAAGGAGCAGAATCCTATGGATTTCCCCGTGGATTTATTCTAAAATCTTGGTTCTATTTTAGACTTCATGACCCAGGAGAATTAGCTGGAAGCAGTTCTAGGAGCATGGAGTCAGGCTGAAAAATTCAGGACAGTGTTCTTTTCTCATTTGACATGACTTCAGATGTCATTCTTTGTAGATGAATCCTTTCTTTCTCTAGATAGCCTTGGTCTCTCTTCACTCCACCTTAGTTACCTTGCAGGACATTTCTGCTTAATAACTCAGCATGTTCGTACTGTACCACCTCCAAATTACATTCTTCCTGATTTGCTTTTTTTGTATTAAAGATTGTACCAAGCTGTAAGGTAGCTAGGTTAGAATTCTTAGATACTTCTTTATAGTTGCCCATATTTTGTTAGCTCTCCTATCTTGTTTAATTTTCTTACGTTATCACTATTCCTACCCCTTTTCTGACCTTTATCACTTCATATCCAAATTATCTTCTGAAAACTAGGCCCGTTGCTCTCCCCACACACATAGTCTTTTCCATCTTCCTGCCAGTCTCCGCCCCCAAGATCGCTCCCTCTAACGAAATCTAGGTCACCCTCATATCAATACCAGAGAATCTTCTAAAATAAGTGCAATTGCTCAAATGTTTATAGCAGCACAGTTCACAATTCCAAAGATGTGGAAACAACCCAAGTGCCCATCAATACATGAGTGGATTAATAAAATGTGCTATATGTATACCGTGGAGTTCTATTAAGCCACAAAAAACAATGGTGATCTAGCACCTCTTGTATTATCCTGGACAGGGCTGGAGCCCATTCTACTAAGTGAAGTATCACAAGAATGGAAAAACAAGCACCACGTGTACTCACCATCAAATTGGTGTTAACTGATCAACACTTAAGTGCACATATAGTAGTAACATTCATCGAGTGTCAGGCAGATGGGAATGGGGAATGTGCACTGTGTGGGGGATGGACACGCTTGAAGCTCTGACTTGGATGGGGCAAAGGGAATATGTGTAACCGAAATATTTGTACCCCGTAATACGCTGAAATAAAAAAAATTTAAAGAAAATAAAAATAAAATGAGTGCAATTCGGTTTTCATATTTTCATGACATCCCTTATCAGGAACTTTCAAACATTTCCTATTGTTTAAAAGACAGAAGACTGCAGAATGTAAGAACTCAAGAGAACTTAAGGATTGTCTCACATTCTGAATAAGGAAAATGAAGCCAGGAGTAGTTAAATGTCAGCCTAGGAACTAGCCATTGGGTTTCTTTATTTCTGTAATTTGTAGTCTTAGCTTGTTCTTAGGTTGACATTCTGTACCCTTGGTAGTCTGGCACTTTGTTTGCCTTTCTAGCCTTATGTCCTGCATATAAATCCTTAGGTCTGTGCCATTTGACCTTGTAAATATGTCTTGTGCTTTCCGTTCATTCATTTATTCAACAGATGTTATTCAAGTGAATATTATGTTCCAGGCATTGTTCCAAGGACCTTGATCAAAGCAGAGAACTCAACAAAGATCCCTTCTATTTGCACAACTTTTTTCATGGTGGTCTTCTACCCAGAATGACTTCCTTTCCTTTGCCCTCTAATGTTCTCTTCAAGGCCTACGTCCTTCACTGCACAGACCTATAGTGAATTTTCTCACCTCTGAATTACAATAGCAGTTGGTGTTTTTATTTTTTACCATTTATTCGGCATTCTCTACTGTCGTGCATTGTTACCATCTTGTCGCTTTCAAAAGCTAGGCATTTTATGGTAACCTCTTTAGTTCCAACATGATTAGTTATACATAGTTAGTAAATATTTTCTTAATATGCGTAAAATCTTTTTGATGGACATGGAATAAGAACCTGCCTAAATAGATATAAATATTAGTTCCTGGATAGAACTTAATGTCATAAAATTGTCATTTCTCTCAAATATGTTTTTGTCTCAGATTTCTCTTAAACATGTATATATTTGAGAGAAATGATGTTTTCATGATATATGTGTACACACACACAAATCTGTAAGAATTCTAATGGATTTTTCTAGAGGGTAAGAAACCAGACAATATGATTTTAAAGTTCACATGGAAGAATTAATGATGTGTAAGACTAGTCAAGAACATTTTGCAGAAGGGGTGGAGAGGGCTCAGAGGACGCTTGCTTTTCCAGATATTGATTTTGTTATAATGCTACTTTAATAAAATAAGGTTTTGAAACAGGAAAAGAAATTAGAGGAACAGAACAACCAAATTTGGAAACAGATCACACACACACACACACACACGTTTATTGTGAGACTGTGAGTTTCTAGAACCTTATGTGAAAGTAATCTGTTAACATCTGTTAAAAATATACAACCTCTTTGACCCAGTAATTCCTCTTTTGGGAAACTATCCCACAGATATTACACTGTGGTACTTTTCTGTTATATGGACAGAGATGTTCATTGCTATGTTGTTTGTAGAGACAAAACAAAACAAAAAAACCCCTCAATGTCTGTAAATAGAGGAATTGACCAAATTATGGGTTATCCTTACATGAGGATATCATACAACTAAAGAGAATTTCTTGACCTGAAATAGAATGTCCATGATATATTGTTAAATGAAAAAAAAAATAGGCAAGTTACATGGTAATTTGTATAATATAACACTATTTTAGTTTGTTTGAGGAAGTGAAAAACGGTATATGTTTATATAGTCGGGCTTATGCTTAGGAGTAGAAGGTTAGATTTCACGCTATTAGCAGTGGCTACCTGAGAGAGCTAGATGGGAAAGGAGCAGTGAAGAGACAAGTTAAAACCACCGATCTATCTTGGTATTTGCTTATTACTTGTTTTTCTTATTGATTGGTTGATTGATTGAGACAGGGTCTTGCTCTGTTGCCCAGGCTGGAGTGCAGTGGTGTGATCACAGCTTGATGCAACCTTGAACTCCTGGCCTCAAATGATCCTCCTAACTTAGCCTTCTGAGTAGCTAGGCGCCCACCACCACCATGCCTGGCTAATTTTAATTGTTTTTTTGTAGAAACAGAGTCTTGCTATGTTGCCCAGGCTGGTCTTGAACTCTTGGGCTCATGCAATCCTCCCACCTGAGCCTCCCACAGTGCTGGGACTATAGGTGTGTGCCACTGCACCAGGCTAACATGTTTTTTATAACTTAAAAATAATAACATTTGAATACAAAGAAAGTGGATATATTTCTAGCTTCTGGTAGTGACAAAGTTCAGAACCATTTCTGTTATGTTTAAGTAGCCATCTTAGGGATATCTGAGTCCCACTGCCAAACTCTGGCAGAAAGTGGGACAACATTAGAAATAAAAATATTTCTATTACTCAGTAGTTTTCTCTGGCATATCATCTGGCAGTCCTCTTAAGTGAATAGGGCCTTAAACTTAAGGCAGACAATAATTGGGAAAGAGAAAAGTGGTCATTACTTATAAATTGGTCCATGTATCTTAGTGTGTAATTGCATCAATCCTGGAAATCAAAGAAACAAAAAACTGATTTTTATTTTTACTCAGAGCCTCTCAAAATCATTTGCTTCTGAGTGTATACAGAAGACACCATAATTTTATCTAGAAAGGAAATGATAAAGCCTTCTTAGTATTGTGTATATAAAAGGAATGGTGTTTAATAGGAAGGTCATCCATCATGGACTTTATTAGTCACCCTAAGAGAAGCTTTTATTACTTATTATAAAAATATGAGCTAGTCATTTGGAATGAAATTTTTGCATTTTTCTAATAATGATGGGTTCTCTTACTTTGGTTAATAAAATACATATGTAAAGTGTTGATAGTTTTACGTTAAAAGCCTGAAAGACTTGACTTTTAAAATATTGCAGATTACTGTATGTTACTTTTTAAAAAAATAGTATTATATCTGAAATGTAAATGTTTTTTGTTTCCAAGATTCAGTCTGCTCCACTAAAAATCTCTAGTGTATCAGAAGTAATGAAAGAATCTAAACAACCTGCCTCACAACTCCAAAAACAAAAGGGAGATACTCCAGCTTCGTCAACAGGTACTTATATTTAGAATCATCCTTTTAAAATTATAGGTAAATTAATTTTTCCAGTGTATTTGTACCCACAGTCAAGAGGAAGGCTCTTCCCCATTAAAGACTCTTATGGCCTCCAGCTCTTATCCTGGGGGAAGGAGCATTCTCACCTGCCATTTTGGCTTTCATTTGAGGGGTTGAATGGGATGGGCAATTGGACTTTATTGTGAACAGCTGTTGAGTGAGGGTAGCAGCAAGAAGTGTCTTGACTGCAACAGACTTTATTTTTCCCTTCTACACTTTATTTTTCTCTGACTTCTAGCCTTTTCCCTTCTTTGGATCTTAAATTTATTCTCTTTTCTCTTTTTTCTACCACTTCACTGATTCTTTCTCCTGTCTTAGTATTGAAAGAGTCTTGCTCTGGTCACTGTAGATACTTTTGCCTTCAGAATTTATCAGTCATCCCACCTTAATTTACAACACTTGCCCAACTCTAACCTGTTCAGTATATATTTGAACTTCTTATGGTTCTCTTTTGTTACTTCTGTCCTTGATTAAATCTCCTGACTTACTTTCTTTCAGCAGATATTCACTGAGTGTCTATTATGTGCTGGGTGTTCTTGTAGGCACTAGGGATATGGCAGTGAATAACATAGTTTAAAAAAAAAATCTCAGCTAATACTCCTTGGTGTGATGAGGTGAGGGAGATCATAAAAATAAACAGTAAAATATATGGGATGTCAGACAGTGTGGGAAGGAATATTGCAGTTTTAAAAGGAGTGGGTAAAGAAAGCCTCACCTGGAAGGGATCATCTGAGCAAAGACCAGAAAGAGAGAGAGAGAAAGTCATGTAACAGGCTGGGGGGCAGAAGCATCCCAGGCAGTTGGGTTAGCTAGTGCAAAGGCTCAGCATATTTAAGTAAGGGCCACATGAGGCTGGAGTGAATTGAGTGACGGGAGAACAGGAGCAAATGCAGTCAGAGAGGGAGCAGAAAGCCTATCATAGCAGTCCTTGGAAGCCATTGTAAGGATTTTGTTGTGTATTCTGAGTGGGACAGGAAGAGGATCCTGAGCCAGGGGAGTGATATCTGACTTTTATTTTAATACAATCGTCTGGCTGTTGTGAATAGGTAATGGACCAAGGGCAGAAGCAGGGAGACCAGTTAATGGGTTTTGTGATAATCCAGCTATGTCTCTTATGTGGGACCTTCAGTTCATTTAAAATTTTTTGTATCTATTTTGTTACTCCCCCCCCGCATTGCATCTCTAGAATTATTTATTTTTCTCTTCTGTTAACACTTTTATTTATAATTTATAAGCTGTTGGTTTTCTAACCTTCCTTTCTTTAAAAATATATAATTTTTTTTTAATTAAGTTCTATTCTTCACTAACTTATGGTCTTCACTGTGAACTTTCTTTGTGTTTAAAACTGTAACCTTGGGCCGGGCGCGGTGGCTCACGCCTGTAATCCTAGCACTCTGGGAGGCTGAGGCGGGTGGATCGCTCAAGGTCAGGAGTTCTAGACCAGCCTGAGCAAGAGTGAGACCCCGTCTCTACCAAAAAATAGAAAGAAATTATCTGGACAACTAAAAATATATATATATAGAAAAAATTAGCCGGGCATGGTGGCACATGCCTGTAGTCCCAGCTACTCGGGAGGCAGAGGCAGAAGGATCGCTTGAGCCCAGGAGTTTGAGGTTGCTGTGAGCTAGGCTGACGCCATGGCACTCACTCTATCCAGGGCAACAAAGCGAGACTCTGTCTCAAAAAAAAAACAAAACACTGTGACCTTGTTCCTGCTCACACCTCTCCTTTCATTTCTACCTCTCTTGAAAGCAATTAAAAAATATTCTTAGGTTAATTGCTTTCTTTTGTCTATCTTTATTATAGGCTCTTTTTTTCCTTTGTTACTCTTTTTCTGTGTTACGTAAATCTGAGGTCCACTTCTTGTATGTTAAGATTTAATACTGTTACTAGAAGTCTTGCCTGAGCATAATGGTGGTTAAAATGCAGATCGATGCAGACAAGACTTTCTCTTGTTCTTTCCCAACCACTGTCCATTTTGTGTGAGTTTGTACGTGTGGTGGACTGTGCCCTTGTTTGAGTGTTGTTCAAATGTGACAGTACATGTTTTTGTGCCTTTAAGGAGTCAGATGTGAAGTGGGTTGTAGTAGTAGTAGATTCCCGTGTGTTTCTCTGTTAACCCAGGAAAGTATAAATACCCTGAATGACATATATTTATAGCACCAACAGAGGCAGCTCAAATTATTTCTGCAGCAGATGATACACCATCAATCCCAGCCCCTGCTGTTCAGCATGAAGAAGCTATAAAAACTGATCACCGTGAAACTGGTGAAGGAAAACCTACGCCTGCACTTTCAGGTAGTTTACTTCTATTTGTTCTTTTGTGCATGATGTGCTCATCAAAACTATTTAAGGCCTAGGCAACACCTAGACACTATTTAAGTATACATTTATACTGGGTTTAAGTCTTTAGGCTTGCTTAGGAAATTTTTAAAATTTAAAAGTTTGAATAACATCTTTGAAAACAAGGAAGTTAAGAGCTGATTCCTGATGCCTATTTCTTCATTTTGGAATCATTAAGAGTGGTGATGTGGTTTTAGAATCCTTACCAGAAGAATTCCCTGCATTGATGTAACTGGCAAGTACAAATGATGTTTTTATGTCCCTGTTAGCTGTTAAAATTCTATGCTGAAATTTGATTTCCTCTTATTTACTTTTGCTGCAAGAGGAAGCATCCTCATCTTCTGTAAGGGAGCGACCACCTGAAGAAGTTGCAGCTCGCCTTGCACAACAGGAAAAACAAGAACAAGTTAAACTTGAGTGTATGTAAATGAAACAGCTTCTTAAGGACTTTGGGTCATTTCTCAATTGCTCTCTTCTTAAACCATCAGCACGAGTTTGTCTTCTATCAGCTAGTTGTAGTTTCTTTTGTTATTTTAGTGGCATTGCTCTATTCACCACCTTCATTTTATTGTGTTCTTTCCATCTAAACTTCTTTTACACAGGGTCAAGAGCTCTCTTTAGTATTAGTTTGTTAAGTATGAAATGTCCAATTTCTTTAAGTATTGTCTGACAGTTGATATCGCTGACATTTCACTTTGACATTTCTTGTTTTATTTTTTTGTGAAGGTACATCCTCTGGGTTTGAAACACATGTTTTGGCTTGTGATTATCTTTCAAATTTTTTTAGACCAATTTTTGTGAAACCACAGATAAGTTAAAAATTCCTGTTATTTTTGAATATGAGCTCTGTCGTGGAACCAGTGTAGCGCAGACACCTCAAAATATCAAATAAGCGTTTGAGCAGGATGTGGCTAATGAACACACAGTATGTCGATGACTTGAGAAGTTCCGTTCTGGTGGTTTTAATCTTGAAAATGAGCCACATGGGCAACCTGAGACCAAGGTGGATAATGATGAGCTGAAAGCTGTAGTGGAAGTGAATCCATCTTAACCTATGCGTGAATTAGCAGCAAGGTTTGACGTTACTATTCCAACAATATTGGACCATTTGAAACAAATTGACAAGGTAAAGAAGTCTGGATAGATGGGTTCCACATGAATTAAATGAACGTCAGGGCCAGGCGCGGTGGCTCACGCCTGTAATCCTAGCACTCTGGGAGGCTGAGGCGGGCGGATTGTTTGAGCTCAGGAGTTCGAGACCAGCCTGAGCCTACTCAAAATAGAAATTAATCGGACAACTAAAAATATATAGAAAAAATTAGCTGGGCATGGTGGCGCGTGCCTGTAGTCCCAGCTACTTGGGAGGCTGAGGCAGAAGGATTGCTTGAGCCCAGGAGTTTGAGGTTGCTGTGAGCTAGGCTGACACCACGGCACTCACTCTAGCCCGGGCAAAAGAGTGAGACTCTGTCTCAAAAAAAAAAAGAATAAATAAATAAAATAAATAAATAAATGAACGTCAGAAGGGAAATCGTCTCGAAGCTTATCTTTCTTTGCTGTCATGACATAAAGGTGAACCACTTCTACATTATATTGTTATACGTGATGAGAAATGGATTCTTTTTGACAATTGCAAGTGTTTGGCACAATGGTTGGATAAAGATGAAGTGCTAAAACACAGTCCAAAACTGAATATTCATCAAAAAAAGCTACTGGTGTCTGTTTGGTGGTCCAGCTCTGGTATTATCTATGACAGCCTCGTGAAACCTGGCGAACTGATTATAGTGAATGTCTACTGGAACCAGTTGGACGAAACAATGAGGACGCTTGCAATTAAGCAGCCAAGATTGGTCAGTTGATATAGGCCAATCCTCTTGCAAGACAGGACTCGACCACATGTCACACAGACAGCGTTGCTCAAACTACAGAAGCTGGACTTGGAAACACTGTCCATCCGCCATATTCACCAGACCTTGTAGCAACTGACTATCACTTCTTCCAGGCTTTAGATCACTTCTTGCAAGGAAAAATACTCAACTCTCAACAAGCTGTGGAAAACACCTTTTGAGATTTCATCACCACTTGCTCTCCGTGCTTCTTTGCTGCTGGCATAAACAAGCTACTGTTAAGATGGCAAAACTGTGTATATAGTTTAGGCGCATACTTTGATTAATTGTACTGCTGCTTTGCCCACAGCTGTTTTTTTTTTTTTTTTTTTGAAATAGAGTCTCCCAAGGTTGGCCAGGGTAAAGTATAGTGGTGTCGTCATAGCTCACTGTAACCTCAGACTCCTCCTGGGCTCCAGCAGTCCTTCTGCCTTAGCCTCCCGAGTAGCTGGGACTAGGGTGTGCACCACCATGCCCAGCTAATTTTTCTATTTTTGGTAGAGACGGGGTCTCACTATGTTGCTCAGACTGGTCTCAAACTCCTGGGCTTAAGCGATCCTCTCGCCTCAGCCTCCCAAAGTGCTAGGATTACAGGCATGAGCCACCGTGCCCAGCCAATTGTACTTCTTGTTTGAAATATAATAAACTATATTTTTGATTTGAAATCAGACATTTCATATTTAATGACCTAATATATAGTTGGTGAATATTCCAAATGATACACATACTTTCTCCATGTGTTTTATTATGGTTAGTGCTGAGATTCATCATACTCTGGGAGACAGAAATTGATTATTTTTGTTTTAGCAGCTTGCTTGGGAGGCTTTTAATTGTGAAACTTGTAAATTTATTTGTTGGAGCTAGAATGGCTCACACTCTGCCTTATCATCTAGCCTCTGGACTCTCACTCTAGTAGTGCTCTTATCTGACATTGGTGAGCTAAGTTGCAATTTTATGTTAAGTTTTTTGATGGTTTAAAAAAGATAATAGTTACCAAAAAATGTACTTTCCTGTCTTAAACAAAGCACCTGGAACATAATTTATTTATTGTACTTTGCTGTAGTGTATCGATATCTCTGAGGTAGTAGGGTGTGTAGCTTTTGCTGGACAGATAGTTATTTTAAATTCTCATGGCAGTCATTTATACTTTTTTGGTCTCCCTGTCACTTATTTCTGTTTATTCCTGCTTCCCTTCTAATAATATGTTCGTTCTGCCCTAATTTGAGGAGCTGAATTTGTTAGGATTGTATAAAAGAACAGAAGGGACAGAATGAATATAGATGTCGGGTATTAGTTTGGCTATTTAGATTTAGATTTTTGTGTTTGTTTTTTTGCATTCTTCTGAGTTTTGGGCCGTGTTACAAATAGTTGAGAATGTTGAATAAATGACTTCTAAATAAGTGAAATATTTCTGTACTTTTTTTCATTTCTTCATTTTTCTTTAATTCTCTACTACTACAAGATAACTCTTTCTGTTATTCATATTTTTTCTTCACTTTTCACTTTTTTCACTTTACCATACAGGCACCTTGAATTAAGTTATACATTTAAAATGGAGATGCCTGGTGATCTTTTTTTTCTTTGTCCTGTTCCCCTGCCATTTTGGGCAAAGTGAAAATTTTCAGGATTTTATCTGTTACCTTGTAGTTTTCTCCCCAACTTTACTTTAAAAATGTGTACGTGCATGTGTGTAATTTTTTATCAGGGATCAGAGCACAGTGTATAGACGAGAACTTGAAGCAGCAGGTAGCCTCCCTGCAGCCTGCTTTCTGTGGCCTCTGTGAAGTGGCTCCCTGCCATCTGCACACAGATGTCCACCATTAACTCAAGCATGCCATGAGTGCCAAATACTGCATTTTCTCTCCCTTGCGTCTTTGTCTCTTTATATCCCCTGCTGTTCAGTTTAACTTCAGTATCACAGTAATTTCTTGGTAGTTTCTCATTAGCTTTCTCCTTTTACCTTTGTTCAGAGGTACCACATGTGGTTCATCAGGTCCACTTGTTCATCGCTAGTTTATGCTTCTTTTGCTCAAAGTCACCTTATGTTTTTGTCTCATCTACCAAATACATTGTCCATTTCTTTGTCATCTCTGTTATCAGTTATTATTAAATTAGTATTCTCACTGGCCTTTTTTCTTCAAATAGCCATTTTTCCATTTTATCATATTATCTAAATTATTCCTTGCTTGCTTTTTGGTATTCCTGATGCAGCATATAGAAATATTTTCTTTTTTTTTTTTTTTTTTTAGAGTGCCGTGGCGTCAGCCTAGCTCACAGCAACCTCAAACTCCTGAGCTTAAGCAATCCTCCTGCCTCAGCCTCCCAAGTAGCTGGGACTACAGGCATGCGCCACCATGCCTGGCTAATTTTTTCTATATATTTTTAGTTTTCTAATTAATTTCTTTCTAATTTTAGTAGAGACGGGGTCTCGCTCTTGCTCAGGCTGGTCTCAAACTCCTGAGCTCAAACAATCCACCCGCCTCGGCCTCCCAGAGAGCTAGGATTACAGGCGTGAGCCACCGCGCCCGGCCTAGAAATATTTTCTTAATAGGTGGTAGCCCCTTGAACATTTGTGATTCCTTTTGTGGAAAAACACTGTCCATTTCAAGCTGCTTTTGCTTTTCTTGTTTGCATATTTTCTTGTTTGTCTTTTTCTTTCTCTTGTCTGTCTTTTATCTCCTTGTGTCTTTTTTTGCTGTTTTATTCTTATTGAGGGGATGAAAATGGGAGCCTCTTTTTCCTTCTGGGTTGATATTATTATTTAAAATGAAAATGATGGTTTTGCTGAATTTATACCCTCTACTAGGAAAAGGGGGTTGTAGTGTCCTAAACCTTGTTTCTCCCATTTGAAATATGTTAGCCTTCTTTAAACACCTGTTTTTAAAAAACCAAAACACTTTTTATTGTGAAAAAACTTAGATATACGTAAACGTAAAAGTAGTATAATAAGCCTGATAGATTCATTATTTAGGTTTAACTATTATCCATATTTTACCATACTTTTAGGTGAAACTTTAATTCCATAAATTTGAGTCCCATGTGTATTTTGTTGTTCTTTTTTACATTTTTTGGGAAATGCAATAGAAGACTCAAGAGAAGAGGAAAAGCTTAAAGTCATTTATGAGATTCGTTTTTTAGCTGTTCTTTTAATTTTTTTCAGCTCTAGCCAAGAGCTTAGAAGATGCTCTGAGCCAAACTGGTAGCATCACTCTGCAGGCTATTGCAGCTCAGAATGCTGCAGTCCAGGCCGTCAACGCACACTCCAACATACTGAAAGCAGCCATGGACAATTCTGAGGTGAGCCAAGGGAATAATTAGGCATGCAGTGTTTCATAGATTGATTTCTTCCTCATGGTGTGGACATTCTCTCTCACTAAGCAAAGACAGCCTAGACTAATTATCTTTAAAAAGTAAACTGAGAAAATCCTTTGTTTTTTTAAATTAATTTTATATATGGTGCTTTATTTTATCTTACAACACTGATATGGTATAAGAATTAGTTTTTATCTTAATAGTGCTTAATGTATTTGTTGCTTGCTTTTATTTTTTTGCTTTAAAATTGCCAACCATTTCTTCAGATGAACTTTTTATTTTGCGATACTTTTAGATTGACATGTAGTTGTAAGAAATAATACAGAGAGATCCCATATTCTCCTAAATACCAGCTATTTTAAATGTTCATGCTGATTGTTTAACTTATATCAAACATTTCAAAGAATAAAGTAATAACATTGATTTCAAAATGTAATACTAGGACTCAGTAGATTTCCTTTGTAATTACATTCAGGCCAGGTGCTCTGGCTCATGCCTGTAATCCCAGAACTTTGGGAGGCCAACGTGGGAGGATTGCTTGAAGCCAGGAGTTTAAGACCAGCATGGGAAAATGAGCCGGGCATGGTGGCGTGCACCTGTAGTCCCAGCTACTCAGGAGGCTGAGGCAGGAGGATCACTTGAGTCCAGGAGTTCAAGGTTACAGTGAGCTACAATCGTACTGCTGTACTCCAGCCTCAGCAACAGAGTGAGACCTTATCTCTAAAAAATAAAAATAATGAATAACATTGTTAATTAGTACATAAAAATGTATCACAATACCCAGTCATTTAAAGAGTAAAATAAAAGTAAATACGGAAACTGTAAATCTCAAGCATCAGGATCATGCATGATTGGTAAGTTTCCTTTGCCACCGTAACAATGTAGTTTTTAAAAAATTTACACACACCTTACATTATTCTCGTCAAATGTACTACATCACAAAAGAGTTACATTAGACTTCAGATGTTAATAGCTGGAAACTACAGACTTTGAAAACTTAAAAGAAAATTCCATTTTATTTGAGATCTAAGAAAAAAATTTAAGTATCAGAGTTCAGGAGGCAAAATGGAACCCACACAGGATATTTAACATGCTGGTTACACAAGTATAGGAAGGCTGGAAGTTGCATGGTATCAGGGACTTGGGTTCAAACCCAAATGGACCAGTGTCCTTCAGAAGGATGCTGATTAGAAGCTTTAAATGTCCATGGTACTACTTTGGTGGAAGGCTTCTTGAGAGGGTATTTCCTTTTCACAATGAACACATAATGTGTGGTACGTGTGGATTAGTGTAACCATCTATTGCAATCAAGATTTTGCAACCTACAGAAGCAGTTAACTAAGATTAGTATTAGCTGATGTTACAAAATAATCAGAAAAACATATAAACATGTTTTCAAATGTTAGAAATGGATTCTAGCTTCTGTTTCTCGTTGTAAAAAAAGCTGTAGGTGCATGTGTGGTTCATGATATATACCAAATTACTGTCTCAAAGCAGTATTTGGAAACAGTGGATTTGACTTGATTGTAGGGGAACCTTATTATGAAGAATTCTTTTAATATGAAACCAGATTCTTCTAACAGCATACTCTGGAGTCTTGGAAAATTTATCATACGTGACAGGATATTCGTATGGCTCAAATTAGCATCCTTTCTTGATGTATTTTATTTGCAAGATGGCCAAAGTGGGAATTCACTGAAGCATCAACTTTATTATTTTCATATCATAAAATTTAATTTGCTTTGTCATTTTGCAACAATTTACATAGAACATAAAAAAAGTGAAACATGAATATAGCAGTGCCAAACATTTCTTACAAAAGCAGGGGTTCTTAACCTGCAGTTGGGTTGATGGATAGAATTCAGGTGTTCATTGAACTTGGATGCAAACATCTTTATCTTCCTTAGCCTCAAATTGAAATTTAAAACCATTTCCTTCAGTTATGAGTATTGGCAACAAACTGTAATAGGGTTAGCAGTATCTGTGACTTTGTCACCAATAGAAAGCACAGATATTTTCATATTCATAATGCGATTTTCAATTCACATTATGGTACTCGCAGATCTCTTAAAATATTTTTGTGTTCATCACTACTTCCAAATTAGGGTATTTATTAGTTCTACCACTAGGTCTTGGTTACTATTTCACAAAACTAAAAAAAAAATTTATGACTATATTTCAGTGTAGTTGGGTTCCTTTGTAATTTTTTTGTTTCATTTTAAGCATTTAAAAATGGTATTCTGAAGTTCTGTGGCACAATGGATAACACATTGGATTTCTAATTCCAAAAATGATATTCTGAGAAACTTCCTTAAACTGCCACAGTGGTCCAGTGGCAGTAAAATGATTATCTCTGCCTTAAGGGGACTGGTTCTTTAAATTCTCCATTGATAATTGGTGTACCTTTAAAATGGAGACCATGTCAGATGTCACTGGGGGCACAGTGTGCAGAATTAGTGCTAGAGGAGAGTTCTGCAAGACTCAAACCAGAGGGCATTATTTTTACTGAGCCCTCCTCCCAAAGTACCAACCTAGGGCTGAAGAGGTAGAGCTGCTTGTATTCTAACAAGGGAAGATACAAATTGGGCTTCCAAGCCCAGAGACACCTTACTGAGACAGCAGTCATCATCTGGGTGTGCAGCAGCCCCTTCTGCAATATCCCTGTTTGGATTTTTTGAAACATAATTACTGAAACAATTTAGTCATTTTTCTTAGGTAAAAATATCTTATTCTTCAATAATTCAGTATTATCCTGTTCATCTCCAGGGTCCCAGCACAGTGTCCTTTAAAGATATAAGGTGGTTTTGCTTCATAGTACACGTAACACATTCATTTTAAACTATATGCATTTGGAATAAGAGAAAAACATCATTTAAAATAGTTCATTTTAAACTAATTTTAAGTAGTTTGGACAGTTCCCAGTAACATTCTGCTCTTCATGTATATGTTGCAGAATGAGGGAAGGATGGAAGCCCGCAGTGTTCTGGGTTCCCATTTACCCCTCCTAGTGTGTCTTGCTGTGCTGAGTGATTGTAGTGTTAGAAAGTTTTTTTTTCTTAGTATTTATGTCCCTTAAATATGAGCCAGCTCTGCTCAAAGAAGTGACAGTTCCATAGTTAGAGAAAAAATATATTGGACCTAACAGGTCCTGTCTCATTTTTAAGGAAACTTTTTTTTTTAGAATATCCAATTCACATACCATAAAATTGCCTCAAGGGATGTTTTTGACAGTAGTCAGTTTATACCTAACAAATTAGGAAGGATCATTTTTTAAAATTAAGTTTTGGTGGAATAATGTTACTACAAATGTGTAAGCTTTTGACTTATCCTTAAACTCTGATTTTGGTAGTCAGACCTACCATTAAGAAAATTTTAAGTATTGGTACTTTATTGCAGAATGATTTAATCAACAGGCAATTCATGAAAAGCTATTGTTCTTTATCTTTTCAGGTTATATGCCCTTTTGAGAATCTAATTGAAAAAAATCTCTCCTTAGAAAATACTTATATACATTAGACACAAATTTTTTTTTTTCTATTTTGTGGAAGGATAGTTGATGGGAGATAGTGCATGGACTTCTTTGTGCCAAACCCATAAGCCTTAGATTAAGAGTCCTTACCATGGAGAAATATTGTATATAAATTTTTTACCTTTAGCTGGGTATAATGGCTTACAACGGTAATCCTAGTACTTTGGGAGGAGAGAGGATCACTTGAGACCAGGAGTTTGAGACCAGCCTGAGCAACACAACAAGACCTCATCCTTACAAAAAATAGAAATATAAGCCAGGTGTGGTAGTGTGTACCTGTACTCCCATCTCGCATCTTGGGATGTGAGATGATCCCTTGAGCCCAGGTGTTTGAGGTTACAGTGAGCTGTGATGACACCGCTGCACTCTAGCCCAGGCAACAAAGAGAGACCCTATCTCAAAAAAAAAAATTTTACCTTTGAATTTAATGACACATTTCTGTATTTAATCTTGTTGGCCTATCCTATGGCAGTAATGGCAATTATTATGTTTATATAATTAAAATTTTTTGTTTAGATTGCAGGTGAAAAGAAGTCTGCTCAGTGGCGCACAGTAGAGGGTGCACTGAAGGAACGCAGAAAGGCAGTAGACGAAGCTGCCGATGCCCTTCTCAAAGCCAAGTAATTACTCATGGACTTTAACAAGTAATTAGGGCCTCCTGGTGGTTTTCTTGGGGCTGGGTTTTCTTTGTACTGTCTGTGTAAAGAGGAGGCAGAGAAACCCTTCTCTCCCTTCTCCACCTGTGTTCGATGTGAATTGGCATCAGGAACACAAAAGTGTAAAAAGAGGGAATAAAATGTAATTAAGCAAAAATAAATTTGGCAGAAACTTATATAAAGGATCTTACATAAAAATCAGTTTTACTTCGGATCATTGCTTAGGTGACGTATCTCTATAGATTTACTGAGATTCTGTTATAATTTCAAGATTTTGCTGACATGGTTTGGGCAGTTTTATCAGAATTTGGAAAGTATGTCATAATCTGTTTGCCTTAACTATCAAAGTAGTAAGTGTATAATATTAATAGTAGGTCTAGTTTTATGCCACTTTGACCTTGATTTCTGGAATTTGGCTAAAACTAGGATTAAGCAAGCAAACCCAAGTATGAGATCAACCTCTTGGTGATGGAAACCTACATTTGACTAAAGATTCTCATTAACAGGATGGAATAGTTATTTGTCATTCAAACTTTTGCTGACTTTTTTAACAAAATATTTACTATTGATAGAGAAAGAGATGTCTTCTAATAAAACCAACATCTCTTTTAGGAGATTTAAGACATTATGCTCACATCACTAGATTATGTGCCAGGGTTCTTTGAGTTCTGTGTTTTGTGATGGGTAGACCACAGTCTGTCTGCCCTGTGAAACATTCTGAATTGTGGAGTCTCCAAGGCTCATTTATTTGCTTAGTGAGGTCCTTGGCCTTCTCCTGTGCCTTTGCCTCCCCTCCCTCTCATTGGCAGGGGAGTCAGCCTAATGCTTGCAAGAACTGCTATTTATAGAGTGCTCATGATATGGGAGACACTGTGCCAGGTATTTCTCATGAATTACTTCTAATCCTTACACAAGAGCTTACAGCAAATGAGAGGCTGATCTGGGAGTTGAATTCAGATCTGTTTTGTTCTGAAGCCTGGATCTTCCCTGGTTCACCTACTAAATCTAGATTCTGACCAAGGGGTTTTCAGTTGTTGGTGAGAAAAGTTTCTCCATTTATTGACTATAAAAAAGCATCGAGTAATTTTTTTCAAATTATGTTTTAGTCATTGACTTAACAATTGTATATTGTACAGACTTCAAAACTCTTTAATAAAGTTGGTGAGGAATTATACTAAATCTTTGTTTTGTTTTGTTGGTTTCCAGAGAAGAGTTAGAGAAGATGAAAAGTGTGATTGAAAATGCAAAGAAAAAAGAGGTTGCTGGGGCTAAACCTCATATAACTGCTGCAGAGGGGAAACTTCACAACATGATAGTTGATCTGGATAATGTGGTCAAAAAGGTACATTTCCTAGGTCTTTTACAATGTTTTATATTTTTGAATATAAACCTTTAGTCAAAGAATTTTAAGAATTCAGGAAAATAGTAAGATTCCTGCCATCTGTCTTCCTTTTCCCCTGCAAAGAATATTAGCTGTTACTATTTTTAAAGACTAGCCTCAGATTTGTTGATACTTTCTATAATAGGTGACATTTTGGTCATGGTTATTGTCACTTATGAAAATTTCCATTTTGAAGCAGATCTTTTGTCTGTATTTGTGTGACCTGTGTGGGTAATTTCCCATGACCCAGAGAAAGGGGGAAAAGGATGCAGTAGGGTGGAAAAGAGCCTGTCCCTGGCATTTGAATAGGAATTAGAAGGAAACAAAGACAAGGCTTATGTTCCTTTTCTGAGCTTCAGATTTCTATGCATATATTTTTTACGCATTCCCAACCAAACATAAATAAAGGAATGTTACTTCTGTTTCTTGGAATGGTTATGCTACTTTGTGTTTAGTTTTATGATACACTCTTTATATTTGCAAAGGTCCAAGCAGCTCAGTCTGAGGCTAAGGTCGTATCTCAGTATCATGAGCTGGTGGTCCAAGCCCGGGATGACTTTAAACGAGAACTGGACAGTATTACTCCAGAAGTCCTTCCTGGATGGAAAGGAATGAGTAAGTACAACTGTGAAGTAATGGCACTTTTTTTGTTTTTTAAGAACTGATCAACTAATCTAAACTTGCTTCAACTCCATTCATCTAGTCCAAATCCCTCTGGCATCCATATCTCTTTTGGTATATGGTACATTGTTTTGGCATTTCCTTTTAACCGTAGTCATGACACACCTGTGACAGTACTCCCATGTTTTAGCCACACAGGTTCCAATCATTGTTTAATTTTATATTCCATGATTCCATTCTGATCTCTGCTGCTCAAAAAAATAGTTTGGAATCCAAATGAGTGAGAGTGGCATTACAACCTTGACTCCATTGAAATATTTTATATATATATGATATATGTAAAATTATTTAAAGCCTGTGATACTTTAAAAGTATTTGTAATGAATTATTTAAGGCACACCTTATGATTGCTCTGTGACAATGCAACACTGTTGAGAATTCACCTAGAGACCCTGCCGTGAGAAGGGAATTGGCCTTTTGGCTATCCATTTACAAAAGCTCAGACTGCAGAGAATTTGGACAGTGAAGCAGTTATATAGTGTAACTGCAGGAAGTAGTTACATTTCTCTCAAGTGCTGTGAAAATACTAAGAATCACAGAGATGAGCAGTCTCAGCAAAATTAAAATATTATTTCAATGCCAGCATCTTAAAAACTAAACTTCTCATGTTATAGGTCTCTCTGTGCTGAAGGTATCAGGGTTGCATCATAGAGCCATGACTGGTCTAAGGAGCTAAGGTAATAAAGACCAATGCAGGAATTTTATTTGTGCAATGGCCAACTAGGGAAATTTAAAGACAAGAAGTGGAGTCAAGGCTGTCAAAAAATAACTCAGATGTTTTGTTTTTTGATTGCAATTAACTCAAAAGGAAGATATCAGACTATTATCAAAAAAGTAGGATTTGTGAGAGAGAGGATAAAGTAGAAAAACACACAAAGTTTAGTCTGGGAACAGTGAATCTTGTTGCACATTGTTGTTTAAACCGAATATCTATTAGCTAGCAAAAAGGGCATTGTGGACAGTTTATCCTTGAGCAGGATAAATGAGCCACATCTGCATCATTTTTCTCATCAGAATTTAGATTACAACTGAACCAGATGTAACCACCTCAGAGACCTTCCCTGACCACCTTCCTCCACAAATTCTCTACCATTTTACCTTATTTTATCTTTTTGAAAGTCTTATTCATTTGTTTGTATGTGTTCTCTCTTTCCATTAGATGTAAGCTCCTTGGCATAAACATGATAATAGGGAGTCTAGGTTGGCCGAAATAAGGTTGAAAGGACAGAGCAGATTCTGCCTGTGGAGAATCAGTTATGGGCATCAACCCTAAGAATTTGCATTCTGTCTTTGGTTTTCCCAGTAGGCTAAATCCTATAATTTTTTCCAAGCCAACTCTGAAGTTTTTAACTTTTTTTCTCTTCTTTTTGCCTGAAGTACCTACTGTAAAACATGAAAATGTTAAAGCAGTAGTTCTCAACCAAGGGCATTTTTGCCTACCCCAGAGGACATTTGGCAGTACTTGGAGACATTTTTGTTTGCCACAACTGGAGAGTGCTACTATCATGTGGTGGGTGGAGGCCAGAGATGCTCCTGAATATCCTATAGTATACAGAGTAGCCCCTCACAGCAAAGGATTATCTGGCCCAGCATGTCAGTAGTGCCAGGGTTGAGAAAGTGAAAGTCCCTTGCAATGCAATCTCTGAATTATTTCTTTGAGCAACCTTCACTTAAATTTTTATTAATTTTTTAAATAGATTATATATTCATATGATACAAAATTTGAAAGGTGCAAGTGGCATTTGGTGAAGTTTTTCTTCCACCTGTCCACAGCCACTTGATTTTCCTCTGTAGGGTCAACTCTGTAGGGTCAACCAGTATTACTGATACCTTGTGTACTTCTGAAGATAGTAATTATTCCAGTCTTACCCCAGCCCTCAATAGATGTCCTCACCTCTAAAATCAGAATGCACTTAAGACCTATGAAATTTGTTAGTACTGATTTGTGTTATGAATTATTTTGCTCTTCTTATTTCCCTAGAGTTTGTATGTACTGGCAATATTCATTATGTCCAATACTCCTTCTGTGTTCTCTATAGCTGAGCAAGGTGCCAAACATATAATAATAGCTAATGTTATCGAGCATTATTTTGTGCCTGGCACTGTGTTCCGAGTGCTTCACATGTATTAACTTATTTAAAGTTCACGACAGCCTTACGAGGTAAGTTTTATTATTATCCCCATTTTATAGGTAAGAAAACTGAGATACAGAGAAGTTAAGCAATGTGTCCAAGATTGGGGTAGAGCCAGGTTTCATTCTTACCCACTAACCTCACTGTTCTCTGCCTGATTTGTATCAGTAGCATGGACTCTCTTTTGGCTTTTTGAGAAGTGCCAAAGGGCAAAGAGGCTGATTAAAAGCCACTGGAGTAATCTGAGGATGAAGTGATACGGGCCACCTAGTGTGTGTGCCAGGGACACTGAAAATGAAGAATAGGAAAGACACTAGGAAGCAGTCGATTAGCACTTGGTTTGTTCAACTATAAGTTACAGTACATGAGGAAGTTGAAGTATATACGCCTTGATCCAACATTTCAACTCCTAGGTATGTGCTCAAGAATTCTCACAGGTACTCAAAGAGACTCATGTAAAAATGTGTGCTGCAGCACTGTTAGTGAGAGCAGAAAAATTGGAAACAGTTAAATGTCTCTCACAATATGGCAGTGCAAATGAACGAACTACAACTACAGCTCTCACACATAAGTGTTAAGAAAAACAAAAAGTTACAGAACACCACATAGAATAGGATACCACTTATATGAAGTTTAAGAACATGCAAAACAAAACCATATATTGTTTAAGATGCACATGTGTCAAGTATAAAAGGAATGAAAAGAGCACAGGAACGAAAAGTGCACACGAATAAAAATTTATTATTTTTTAAATTCACATAAGTCCCTCTTCACAGAATAGATGCCAAATTGAGAGAGTAGATACTTCTGTGGGGGAAGGAGGTAGGGAGCCATTGGGAAGGTGCAACCCAGGATGTGGGCAGGTTTGGAGCATGAGGGGGAAGTTGTGGATTGTCAGTATTCCCAGGGCATGTTCCTTTATTGCTTATAGACTATAGTACGTATAGACATATTTATGTGCCATGTTGAGACTGACTTAATATCTCTCACCTTGTCCAACTTTGCCAGTCTTTCCTGTAACATTTTGGGACAGATCCTTCTTTCTTTGGTTGGACTCCAGATTAAACAGTTAAATTTTAGAGCCCTTTTGGATGAAAAATACCTGTCTTTGAACTTGTTAAATCCGAGAGTCATTAAAAAGCTCAGGACAGTTAAGAAACTCATATTGAGAAGCAGTAGCTGAGACTGGCTGAGTCCCCTCGCCTGTCAAATGTTCACACTCTGGTACTTGTAAACATGGTGGGGTGCATCATTCAAACTATTCAGAATGTTATTTTTTTCTTTCTTACCCTCAGATCAGATAGTCGTAGTTCTTAGTTTAATTAGCACAGGTTAAATGTAAATTTAATGTGAGTTCATTAAAAATTTCCAAAGAAAAAATATTAATTTATTAAGTATTTAAAATGTTAGGAGAAGCCTAGTTCTGAGAACAATCAGTCAGGACTGTGACTTAGCAAAATAGTTTATCAACTAATATACAGGGGAGAGGATGAAAGAAAATTATAGTTTTAATGAAAATAGTGATAAGTCCCTTAAAACCAAAACTACTTTTAATATCAATGATTCTCTTATTTTTTAAAATGTTAGAATTTCCTTGATTTATATTGTTTTATAATCCCTTTAAATTTTAGGAAATAAGTGTTATTATTTTGCTCTCCAATATTCAAATAAGCTTTTCCTAGTACTAGTTTTTGGTTCCTTCTTGTTTTCTTTTGGATGTTCCTATTTAATGATCAGTAACTGAAGTAATACATTCTTTTTTTCAAACCGTTGTTCTATTTCCTTTGTAGGTGTTTCTGACCTAGGTGAGTAACTATGTATATTTTGTGTTTAAAGGCTTTTGTTTTGAGTCTTAAAAGACGGAAGTCTTTTTGTTGTGCCTATGATTCTTATGCTAAACCATGTAAATAATATAAAATAGGATTATATCCCATGTGATAAATCTGAATTTGATACTTTTGGCATCCATGTGATCTCATGAACAAACATGTTTCATGAAGTGATTGGAATCCTGTAGATGTGAGGGGTGTGTATAATATGGATTTTTTTTTAAACTTTGGAGAATTTCAAACATTTAAAAAGTAGGAAAGGCTGGACGTAGTGGCTCATGCCTGTAATCCTAGCACTTTGGGAGACTGAGGCAGGAGGATTGCTTGAGGCCAGGAGGTTGAGATCAGCCTGGGCAACGTAACGAAACCCTGTCTCTATAAAAAAATTTTAGTCCCAGCTACTTGGGAGGGTCAGGAGGATCCCATGAGCCTAAGAGTCCAAGGTTGCAAGTGACGTATGATTGTGGCACTGTACTCCAGCCTGGGTTACAGAGTGAGACCCTATTTCTTAAAAAGATAGGAAAAAAACGATAATGAACTTCTATGGACCTATCACCCAACTTCACCAGTTATTGACCTTTTTCATCTCATCTATTTCCATCTTCCTCAGCTGATATAGAAGCAGACCCCAAATATACATATCCTTTTACTTGTGAATACTTTCAGTATGTTTTAAAAACATTCACTATACCATTATCACACCTAAAACTTAACAATTCCTTAGATGTCCATTCAGTGTTGAAATATCCCCTGTCTTTTCATGAGTTTTTAACAGTTGTTTTATTTGAATCACTATCCATAGATGTTCCATATGTTGAATTTGCTCAAGAAATCTCTTACCCCTCTTTGTTTTTTGCTTTTCAGTTTATTTATTGAGGAATTGAGTCGTCATATAGAGTTTTCCACATTCTATATTTTGCTTTTTGAGCCATAATTCTTAACCTATGGTATATGTTTGGAACACTTTTGGATTGTGAGATTTAAAACAAAAAATAAATGGGTTTAAGCCTAAATGAGAATCTTTGGGCATAAGTATTTTAAAAAGCTCTCTGATTATGATGAAAACTCTAATTACAGATCACTATCCTAGATAATATGTGTTTAAGAAAAGGAACAAAAATTCTTATTAAGGAAAAGTGCAAGAGAATTTGAATTTGCTTTTGAGTTTTAGAAAAGAGATGCCTGTTATTGGATGCCTGTTATGACTAATCAAAGTTATACATCAAAGAAAATACAAAAGTGATTGTATATATAAACTTTGTCTTTAGAGGTAAACTTACGGTAAATTAGAAAGCCAGTTTATAATTGGTTCAGATTTGAAGCGAATTCCTGAATAAGAACTGATTACCTGAAGGCTTACCTAATGTACATTGCTTGGGATTGAAAATATCTTGGTTGCTGGACACTAAATACTAACTTCTGATTGAATTGGAGAATCGAAATCTCTTCATGTTAGCTACTTTTTGCTTTTTTTTTTTTTTTTTTTTTTTTTACAGCTGTTAAATTATAATCACTTGAAGCAAATTACCTTATAGTGATGTATAATTTTGGTGAAATCATTAACTTTTTAATGTGTTTTTCTGTTTAGCTGACAAGCTCTCTACTGACGATCTGAACTCCCTGATTGCTCATGCACATCGTCGCATTGATCAGCTAAACAGAGAGCTAGCAGAGCAGAAGGCCACAGAGAAGCAACATATCACATTAGCCTTGGAAAAACAAAAGCTGGAAGAAAAGCGGGCATTTGATTCTGCAGTGGCAAAAGCATTAGAACATCACAGAAGTGAAATACAAGCTGAACAAGATAGAAAGGTAGAAGAAATGAAAATTGTTGCCTAATGTTTTAAGTTAATCTAATTTGATTGTCTACTTCTGGAGATCATACTGACAGTCATTGACTTTAAAATACTGCCTGTAAGTCATGCCAACCCACCTTTAGAGGAGAGCTTAGACTCTCATTCTCCCAGTCAGAACTTTTAGTGAAGGATTGATCTAGGAGAGTTCCTTTATGTTGAGCAGATATAGAAGTATAAGAAAGTAGTAAGATACTGGTATCCAGCATTATCTAGCTCATCAAAGAATCTTTGTTGGATTCGGAGTATATTTTTCTCTGCCAGTGTTATTAAGTGGTTAGTGGTTAAAAATGAATGAAACAACTTCTTTAGCCCTCTCTCTGGGCATATCATGTGTAAAATATGTGTCCGTGGGCTGATTTAGGAACCCCACCACTCATCCCACCTTTGTGTCTTTTCAGCAGCACAGTTTACCACTTCTTCCTGCTTGAAGCTCTTTTTCCCCTAGGCTACCAGACACCACACTCTTCTGGTCTTTCTGTCACCTTGCTGGCCACTCCTTAGCTTCCCTCTCTACTTAGCCTCTCAAATACTGGTATGCCTGACATTGGTTCTAAAATCTTTTCTCCAACTAAACTTTCTCTAAGTGCTCTTATCTAGTCCTATAACTTTGAAGTTTAAATAACATCTATATCTGATAAATTTGTATCTCTAGCTCTGACGTCTGCTTTGGCCTCATAGTCCTATCTACTTGATATCTCCAGCTGGATTTTCAGTAGTCATTACATTCTCAGTATGTTCAAAACAAATTTCTTAATTCTCTCCAACCTGTCTTCAAGACCCTCAACTTTTTTTTTCTAAATAAACCACCGTTTACTCAGTTGTTCAAGCCAGAAACATGCTTGGTTATCCTCCATCAACTCTCACATCCAGTTCACCAATAGATCTACCAGTTCTGCATCCAGAATAAATCCCAAATCTGTGCACTTTTCTTTCTCCATTATCACCACCTTAGTCTAAGCTATCATCTCAACATATTTCCGTTTTCATACCCTTCTTTCCATGTCTGTTTACACAGACAGTGGTCTAATCAGATACTATGCTGCTGGAGATCCTCCACTGACTTCATTTAATATAAAATCCAAATTCTTACCCAATACCAAAAAGGCCTCTTAATCTCTACCTGGTGTGAGCCAGGCTCCCCTTCATTTCATTGCTTCAAGCACCCGAGTATTTTTTTCTGTGCCTTGACTGCATCTTTCACCCTGGGACCTTTGTGCTTCTTTATGCTTGCTCTGCCTGGTACATTGTTTTGTCTTCTCTCTTTAAACCTTACACTTTCTAAGCTTAAACACTACTTTCTCAGCAGGGCCTTTCCTATACCTTCAATCTAAAGTAGAGCCTCTGTGTTACTCTCTGTCACATTGCCCTATATATTTTTTTTTTTTTTTGTAGACAGAGGCTTGCTCTGTCGCTCTGGCTAGAGTGCAGTGGTGTCATCATAGTTGACTGCAACCTCCAACTCCTGGGCTCAAGTGATCCTCCTGCCTCAGCCTCTTGAGTAGCTGGGACTAGAAGTGTACGACACCACACCCGGCTGATTTTTTCTATTTTTAGCAGAGATGGGGTCTCCTTGGTGAGGCTGGTCTCAAACTCTTGACCTCAAGTGATCCTCCCACCTTAGCCTCCCAGAGTGCTAGGATTACAGGCATGAGCCACCGCACCAAGCCTGCCCTATTTATTTTAAATGTAAGGTAAAAAGGAGGTTGAAGGGGAGTTGATGCTTTATGATAGGTCCTCACCTGCTCAAATTCATACTTAGAAGCAAGTATCACAATCTGAGGTGTCCTTTTCATTTACTTGTTTACTGTTTGCTCCATCGAAATGTACACAGTGTGTGAGCAAGAAATTTTCCTGCCTTGAGCACGGTTGCATCCATACATTTAGTGGGCACTACCTGGCACAGAGCTGACACTTTATAAATATTTATGCACAAACTGAATGGATTCATTGAGTCATTGTATTGTTTCTAAGGAAAAATAAGTTTTGAATTTCAGATAATCATTGTTCAGTAATTTGTGATATGATCCATGGCTAATTGTTAGGCAAGATACAATTTTGGTTTGATTTGGTTGGCCCATGTTGAATTTAAATTCTTGTTAAAAATAAGCGGTTTTCTTTGTTTAGAAGAAATTATGTTCAATAACTACCAGCTACTTACTAATTTTCTTAATGATTCTTCGAAGTAGGCATTATTCTTCACAGATGAGAAAATAGAAACTTGAGAGGATAAATAATTTCCCCGGAGTCATACAGATGAAGCTATGCTTGATCCCAAGTCTACGTATTAATAGTTATTTTTCTCCCTATTCTGGATTTAGTTACTTCTCAGGAGTAATGTGTGATTCAGGAGTGGCAGTGTATGTTTTATGTGGGAGGCAGCCTGATGATGTGGAGAAAATACAAGTTTGGGAGCCAGAGACCCCTGTTTGAAATCTGATTTTTGCCACAGCTGTGTAACCTTGTTTGAATTGCCTTCCAATATTCAGCTTTCTGATTCATTTAAGAAGTAGAAGTAAAGGATGGGTACACATACCTGGCACATTGTAAGTAAGGGTTCAGGATATGGAAGCTGCTATTGTTGTTGATAAGAGTCTTTAGTTTTCCTAGAATAATATGTGGAGAATTGAGAACTAATCATTGCTGTGTTTGCTATCACAGGTAGAGGAAGTCAGAGATGCCATGGAGAATGAAATGAGAACCCAGCTTCGCCGGCAGGCAGCTGCCCACACTGATCACTTACGAGATGTCCTTAGGGTACAAGAACAGGAACTGAAGTATGAATTTGAGCAGGTGAGGACCTGTTGTAAAGCATCAACTCCCCTTCAGCCTCTCCCCACCCATACATTATTATCAGGCTTTCCATTCCTTTTAATGTATTCTGAAGTCGTTGAAGAATGGGGAAAGATTTCAAATGTTACCTAATCTTGGAGTGGGGCTTTTTTATAGCTGCAAAACTACTCCTTTTTACATAAACCTGTGTGTTTATGACCAGATGTGAGTTTCATATATATATATTTTCTAGTTATTCGGAGTCTTCAAAGTTTTAAGGAGGGTTGATAAAGGGAATTTCAGGAATGCAGACAGTAATACTTGACACATGTAATCTCCTAGTTTATCTCCACAAACTCTTACACATAAATGGTAGTGCTCAGATTTTATAACTGAAGAAACTTCCAGAGAAGTTAAGTTTTGAAATCATAGAAAATTATCAGGATATCTTTAATCGTAACTGGTTTCTACACAGGAAACCATTTATAATAATATTAACTTATTATTTTGTTTTGCAAAACGGGAATGAGTTTTTCTAAATAAGGAGAATTTCCAGAAAATTGAAATTTATGCCAACATGAAAAGGTATTTGAAATTCTCTTTGATGGATATTTTTCTGAGAAAAATGAATGTATAAGCTCTTAAATAGAAGATATAGAATATAATTTAATTCTTCTTTAGGTTTTCTATGTGGTTAATTTATTGCCTTAAATTGACATTATTTCAGACTTGAATAGCCTACTCTCTTCTCCTGTCTGTTTCCTCTAATATTAGGTCCCATCAGTAAATTTGTAGACAAGTATACATCAAATACAAGTCAGAAAAATTTCTAAACCTTACACATAATGTAGGAGTTTCGTGACAACTATTTTGAGATTTTAATGGCCCTCTTTGCTTCAGGAGGTAGGATTTGTTAGAAGATTAGTATTCAGTTAAGTGACTTGCATTGAGGTAACATCACTTTTTTTTTTTTTTTTTGAGACAGAGTCTCACTGTGTTGCCCTGACTAGAGTGCCGTGGCTTCAGCCTAGCTCACAGCAACCTCAAACTCCTGGGCTCAAGCTAGCTGGGACTACAGGCATGCGCCACCATGCCCGGCTAATTTTTTCTATATATATATTTTTAGTTGTCCAGATAATTTCTTTCTATTTTTAGTAGAGACAGGATCTCACTCTTGCTCAGGCTGGTCTCAAACTCCTGAGCTTGAGCGATCCCCCTGCCTCGGCTAGGATTACAGGCGTGAGCCACCATGCCCGGCCTAACATCACTTTTTTTGTACACGATTTATGTTTTATTTCAGGACCTGGCTGAGAAACTATCTGAACAAGAATTACAGTTTCGTCGTCTCAGTCAAGAGCAAGTTGACAACTTTACTCTGGATATAAACACTGCCTATGCCAGACTGAGAGGAATTGAACAGGCTGTTCAGAGTGAGCATAATCTATGTTATCTTGTAGATAATTTTATTCATTGCAGCTTACTAGGATAATTATACAAGGATAATGGGGTATGTGCAATGATGTTAGGGCATAAATATACTAAAGTCACTCTACTAAATTTTATTTATTTTTTGGAAAATTGATCCCAGATTCAATGAGTTTAGAACATAGACAGTTGTGAGAGGAAATTAAAATCTAAAAATTAAATCTAAATAAACTGAAATTTTGTATCTTATTCAGCAGTCCCCAGCCTTTTTGGCACCAGGGACTGGTTTATTGGAAGAGAATTTTTCCATGGATGGTTTCGGGGGGTTGTGGGGTAAGGCGGAGCTCAGGCAGTGATGTGAGCGATGGGGAGCAGCTGTAAATACAGATGAAACTTTGCTCTCCTGCTGTTTACCTCCTGCTGTGTGGCACCCCAGATCCTAAGTTTCATGGAAAAATTTTTCCATGGATTGGGGTGGGGGAGGGGCGACAGAGCTCTGCAGCCTGGTCCCTAACAGTCCGGGTGTTGGGGACTACAGCCTTATATGACAAACATGAGATGAGTATTTACAAGGCAGTTTACCCAACAACACACTTTGGCTATGTCTTGTGAGCCCTGAATGGAGGGAATGGTCAACGTGGCCCCATACTGGCCCTCCAGAGGCTCTGGAGGGTTATCCAGAGCTAGTGATTTGCCAAACCCACCCACTAAATGAACAGTGGTTATGCTGAGGCCTCCATGTGCCACATTGAAAAAGAAATGTCTCGACAATGAGGGTGTTGATAAAGTGGGTTTCTTTGGGATGTTATGGAATCCTTTTTTGTTATATAAATGATAAAAATAAACTCAGTACTCACGGAATTTCAAGATCATCCTTTGAAGTTTCCCATTTCTTTGCAGGAAATTTCTGATGGCTCTAGCATAAGTCTTAGCCTAATGTAAATAACATGTTTCTTTCTCAACTACTAAAGATAAAAATACCTGGATTAGATACTATGCAGATGTTAATGACTTCTATGTACTGTTTGACTTTGCATTGTCCTGGGTGTCACAGGAAGAGGGAAGAGGGACTTAGTTGTGCTTGTGCACATGCATCCTCCCAGTTTTCTCCGTGACTTCAGTAAAAATAAGTCCTCATCAAATTGTGTTGTGCCTTACTGCCTCGTATGAAGAGGGCAGCTAGGAAAGAACATACTAAAAATTACAGTGGTGGGATGGGGTTGTAAGAGGCTCTCATCTCTGGCCTTATCTTCCACATATGTGGGTTTAACTCGTTGAATGTGCATTAGTTCTGTGGATGTAAGTAGTCAGGTGCAGAGAAAAATGTTCTTCTTCGCCTTTTTTCTTTGTAGGTCATGCAGTTGCCGAAGAGGAAGCCCGAAAAGCCCACCAACTCTGGCTTTCAGTGGAGGCTTTAAAGTACAGCATGAAGACCTCATCTGCAGATATGCCCACTGTTCCACTGGGTAGTGCAGTTGAGGCCATCAGAGTCAACTGTTCTGATAATGAATTTACCCAAGCTTTAACTGCAGCTATCCCTCCAGAGTCCCTGACCCGTGGGGTATACAGTGAAGAGACCCTTAGAGCCCGTTTCTATGTGGTCCAAAAACTGGCCCGAAGGGTAGCAATGATCGATGAAACCAGGAATAGCTTGTACCAATACTTCCTCTCCTACTTGCAGTCCCTCCTTCTATTCCCAGCTCAGCAACTGAAGCCACCAGAGGAGCTCTCCCCTGAGGATATAAACACATTTAAATTATTGTCCTACGCCTCCTATTGTATTGAGCATGGTGATCTGGAGCTGGCAGCAAAGTTTGTCAATCAGCTAAAAGGGGAGTCCAGACGAGTGACACAGGACTGGCTGAAGGAAGCTCGAATGACCCTAGAAACTAAACAGATAGTGGAAATCCTGACAGCGTATGCCAGCGCTGTAGGAATAGGAACCACTCAAGTACAGCAAGAGTAAGGTCTAGGGAAGAATTTTGTAAAGTCATATTTCATGTCAAAGAAAATCAGCAGGGTTTGCAACAAGGGTCCCAGAATTGTCCAGAAATGAGCAGGTTACAAGTACTGTTCTAAATGTTAACACCTGTTGCATTTATATTCTTTCCACTTGCTATCATGTCAGTGAACTCCAAAAGTGCTTTCTTTGCAACTTGTGTAACATTTTCTGTTTTTCAGGTTTTACTGATCAGGCTTGTGAGGCCAATCAAAATAATGTTTGTGATCCGATCCCTACTACTATTGATTCTGCCCTTGGAGCAAACTGAATAAAGCAACAAGATGAAAACTAAGTACCTTATCCCTTTCGAGAGAGTACCATGTCTAGTTTGTTGTGTGTGCAGAAAATTTCCTTGAGAAGTAGCAATAGCAGAAGTACGAACTTATGGCCACATGGAATTTCCAGACTGTGAAATTTCCAGACTGTGAATTGGGTCACAAGTCCAAGGCGTGCCTCTTGGCTTTGAAGATTTTGGTGAATTGATTCCTGCTGGTAATGCACAAGCCAAAATGCTAATGTATTTATAATTGGGGATATAGGAGTCTGGTGATTAAAAAAAATTTCGATTTCTACCCACAAATTAATTCGAGAGCCCTCAAATGGCTATAACTTACACATTTCTAAACCACTGGTAATGCATCTTGCTTCTTTCTAGTACCTGGGACTGTGAACCTCTTCAAAGTGGGGGTAGGGTACCTAGAATCTTAATGAAAGGGTTAACTAATTTCGTAGTGTATTTGATCTAGATTGCCGTAGAATCTAGAGAACTTTCTCAGCTCACCCTTCTAAAGATTAAGATAATTGCCATATTGGATAAAAACTAACCAATTACTACCTTTAGATTTGTTTTTTACTTCATGAAGACCAGCACCTCTACATAAAAATACAGTCAATTTCTTTTTCAAAATTACAGTTTTTTGTTGGGGGTTTATATATTCACAGAGATTATTGAGTAGGCACTTTTATCTAAGCAACACATATGCAAATCATGAAGGGGATCAGGCTCTAATTTATGTATCTTCAAGTGTATGCCAGCCCCAAAATTTGGATAGTTACATTATAGCGTTGACCTTGTTCTTTGATTTTGAGATATTATTGGTCCATCTTTGGCCTAGGTTGATGTTAATATTCCCTATGTTCCCTCCTAAGTGGATTCTTAATTCAATAAAATACCTCTAGTTTTTCTGATTAGAACACGTGCTTTATGTAATGGCCTTCATCTCTGGAGGTAGAGGCACTCTGGGCACCTGCCTGGCGACTAAGTTTTTACTAGAAGATGATGGAGCTGTTCTAAATTCAGGCTTTCTTCCCCTTTGGAATGGCATGAAATTGCAAAAATACATTAACTTGTAAAGCTAAATTTACCTATTTGTCAAATTAGAAGTGCTTTTTATTTTAATTTTATTCATGAGATTTGGAAAATATAATAGATTATAAAGAAATCTGTTTCTCTTGGAGCCCTGAAGTAACTTCCTTCAAATGCGATTATCTGAGCTCACAAGAAGTAAACACTACTGAGTGGTTTATTTTAGCTCTGTCAATCAAAATAATGACCACAGGCTTTCAAATCTCAGTAGTTCCTTTAACAGATGCCCCCTGCCCCATTGCTTATTAGGAACCAGGGTGATTTTGAAAAGCCAAGGCCTTTATTTTCCTTCCTCTTGCCTGGTAAAACTCAATCTTTGCGAGATGCCACTCAGTAACCACTTGAGTTCTCAGCACTATGAGGAGATGGAATCCAAAGGGCCAAGTTTGGGGAAAGGTAGGTAGAGCTCTGAGCTGTTAGGGCAGGTCAGCTTCACGTCAGCATATTTCTCTTAAGTCACACCACTGCCACTTCCATAAAGGTCATGTAAAGTTAAAATCATACGTTCTGCTTTCAATCTGTTTTGGCCTTAAATTGGATCACCTTACTGCCTTCTTCCTGATTGCTGTAGGACAGTGTTCAACATTTTAAAATTCATGCGTCCTGATTTAACATGAAAACTGATCGTTGCTTTCATGTTGTTTAAAGTTTCATAATAATGTAACAGACTAAAATGTAATTTTCAATAGCCTTTTTAAAAGGCACACTACTTGTGTATTTGTATGTGTTATTAATAATTTAAACCCTCTGCATTCTCTAACAGGTTCTGGATAAAAGCAGTCTCCAAGACCCAAATGAGTTGTGCCACTGGTTTTAAAGTAGCTTGCTTGACTCAGTGCAGAGCAGATCATTTGAGTTAACACAGAAGGGAAATAAAAAGGCTTAAATGTCAGGCAAATTATGTTCATCAGGTCCAGCGCTCACCTTTCCCCTGAACTAAATGCCTATACTTCCCTGGTTTCTTTGCCTTTGCTGTATCCTGGGGCCCTGAGGTTGGCTGGGAACATGAGAAAGCGAAGGATAGGGGCAAGGAGGAGGGTCACCTGGCCACTATGGCTCTTATCTGTGTGCAGAGGTGACAAGGCTTCACTAGCTTGTTGGTTTCATTGAAGAGCTGCTGGAGGGTCTGTGAGGCAGGAGCCAGCGAAGGGGCCATTGTTGTGGGAACAGACTCCATTGGTGCCAGTGGCAAAGCTTAGGCTGTTCAAGGAATAAGTTCTGTCGTGACCTGTATCCTCTTGGACATTCTTAGTTTTCAGGAGTCTTACATCTTGCTCAACTCTGAAAAATATTCTTGGCCTTGATTGCCAGCAGTCCTGAGTCCTCTATAAAACCCACAGGTAGACATTGTTAAATAGGCTACTTCCTAGGTCAGGCTAAAGACTTACTGCCTAGACTTTCTGTACCTTTTGATTATCCCATGTTGTCATACATCAACCAAACCATATATTTCTCTGGTAAAATGCCTGTCAAATCTAAATGATTCTATAAAATCTGCCCTGCCCACCCATGCTCCTAATGACCCAGTCTCATAGCATATCCTATTTTAGTGTTTTACAAACTTTTTTTTTTTTTTTTGAGACAGAGTCTGGCTCTGTTGCCCTGGCTAGAGTGCTGTGGCGTCAGCCTAGCTCACAGCAACCTCAAACTCCTGGGCTCAAGCAGTCCTCCTGCCTCAGCCTCCTGAGTAGCTGGGACTACAGGTATGCGCCACCATGCCCGGCTAATTTTTTCTATATATATATTTTTAGTTGTCCAGATAATTTCTTTCTATTTTTAGTAGAGACGGGGTCTCGCTCTTGCTCAGGCTGGTCTTGAACTGACCTTGAGCGATCCACCCGCCTTGGCCTCCCAGAGTGCTAGGATTACAGGCGTGAGCCACTGCGCCCAGCCTACAAACTTTTTTGACCGTGAACGGCAGTAAAAAGTTTACATCATGCTCTGGTACACTTGTGCATGTGTATCTACATGCACATATCTGTGTTGCAATATAAAAATACATCACAAATATGACACTACTACTTGTGATGTGTTTACATGCTCTGTTTTATTCTTGTTATCATGCCCAAAACTGATTTCAAACCCTGCAGTTTGAAAGACAAACACTACCCTATATAAAGCCAGTGACAGTACAATCTAACATCTTTTCCTCTAAGCCTAGTGCTTGGTATAGCATTTATACAGCAGCTAAGGATACCAGATGAGCAAGGTTTCAAAATCAGCAAAGCCTTTGCATAGAAGGTGGCATTCATTAAAATTCATTAAGCATTTACTAAGAAGTACCTAGGGCCAGATTTGAGTTGGAGTCTAAAGACATTTGGGATCTTTCAGTGCTGTCGAGCCTTTTGCTTGAATACTTTGATAGCTTTAAGTCCAATTTATTGTTAGAGTCCAGTGATATGTGGAACCAAAAACCGAGTTTCTGATTTCTACACATTGGTAATCTAACTCTGAGGCAACATTGAATGAATTTATTCCACATATTAGGACTCTTCCTTTTTCTCCTTGCCATTCCGTGGGAGTCCTTATTCCCATTTGCTTTTCTGGTACTCTGGTTTCTCCTGTTTTTTAAAAAGTTACTCAGAAATAGTTTTGCTATCCTCAGTTCCCACTATACAAAAGGCTCCTTTTAGATTTCCTGACATACGTTGCTTCCTGTTAGTGTTAATGCCAATGCCCGTCAGCTCTGGTGTCATTAAAGCAGCACATTCCCTTTTAATGCTACAGGGCTTTTCAACACTTGATTCTGGTTCTGATTGGATCGGGTTATAACTCATACCTTTCCTCCTTGTATCATTTTGTTTAAATTGTTGAAATGATGGCTAGGCGTGGTGGCTCAAGCCTGTAATCCTAGCACTCTGGGAGGCCGAGGCAGGAGGATTGCTTGAGCTCAGGAGTTGAAGACCAGCCTAAGAGCGAGACCCTGTCTCTACTAAAAATAGAAAAAATTAGCCGGGCATGGTGGCGCATGCCTGTAGTCCCAGCTACTCGGGAGGCTGAGGTAGGAGGATCACCTGAGCCCAGGAGTTTGAGGTTGCTGTGAGCTAGGCTGACGCCATAGCATTGTAGTCCAGGCAACAGAGTGAGACTGTGTCTCAAAGAAAAAAAAAAAACGTTGAGTTTCAGATCACAAATATATATTTTTCCTGTGTAAATTTTCCCCATTCAGCTGAGAAATGTTTGCTGATACTGTTCTGTGAGGGTGGGTCTTCAGAAACAAGGAGTTCTGTACCACTAAGAAACCACTTGTTAATGCCTTTTAGGGATGCAGTACTTGAATTGTATGGATGTGCAGGCAGTAGTGAGGAAGTAGATGGATAGCAGATACAGACTAATCAGGAGTAAAAGGAACACTGCAAAAAGGTCAACTTTAGAACTTTATAAGGGAAATCCATGTGCACAGGTTTATGAACAGAGGGTTGAGAATCAGAGGAGGTAAAAACTATTGGGGCTGGGCCTGGAGTAAGGTGATAAAATTGAGGGGACAGCTGAGACCAAAAGCAAAATTTAGAGGTTTATGACTTTGGCATAGAAAAACATCTTTTACTGATACTAGAGGCTAGACTGTGATGAAATAAACATTTATAGAGGAATTGGAGACTTAGCCTGTATGTAGGCCTTAATTTTTCTCAGAACCTCAAGGCAGTTATTTGCTCAGTGGGGGTTTGGAACATCTGTAGCACAAAACCACTGAGCTACAAATCCACTTTGAAAGTCCACCACAAACTCATTGACCATCGGATTTTACCGGTCAACTGTAGCTGCCTAGTAACATGATACGGCTCAGAGTTAGGGCTTGATAGGAAGAGGCATACTATGCGTCTAAGGATTGTACTGACAGCTAAGGCCAAGTGGGGCATCTACAAGTACTGATGAATGAGAGCAATAGGAAAGGGGCCGGTTAACCTTGCAGGCAACCAGGTTATCTTTGTAAACCAAGATTAATAACGGATTTACACTTTGTCCTTCTGTGAATTTTTTTTCTTTTTTTTGAGACAGGGTCTTGCTGTCTTGCCCCAGCTATAGTGCAGTGGTATCATCATAGCTCACTGCAACATCAAGCTCTTGTTCTCAAACCATCCTCCTGCCTCAGCCTCCCAAGTAGCTGGGACTATAGGAGAGCACCACCACACCTCACTAATCTATTTCTTGTACAGACAGGGTCTTAACTCTTGCTCAGGCTGGTCTTGAGCTCCTGAGCTCAAGTGATCCTCCCACCTTGTCCTCCCAGAGTGCTATAATTCCAGGGGTGAGCAACCGCGCCCAGCCCAAATTTGCTTTGATGTGGAGCAATGTGTGGATGCTTAAGAACCTAGTTACTATACTGGTATTTTATTTTTTTTTTATCCGTCAATTAGATGCCTTAACTGACATTCTAGAACACGTGAACCAGTTAGGTTTCCAAGGATGTATGACAATGGTAAATGCAGATGGGAACAACATTAACAAGTGTCAGTTACTACAGCATCTCATAAATGTCCACTCTGGCAGGGTAAAGATGAAATTGCTGATCTGGAGAACTCATAGGGTGCCTCAGTAAATCTGGGAGTCAAGTATGTGCAGAGCAGTCTGTGGAGGAAGCCCTTATGAAGGTGGGGATGCTCCTGCAGACCTCGAAAGTTCTTACTGGCTTCCAGCACCATTTAGAAGTCATGGTAGTAAGAGAAATGCTAAAAGTAGAAGTTCTCGACCAACTTAATTCCCAGCAATACACAATGATGTCCAGACTTTCCACATCGGTTTGTCATCACTAGCCCTCATTTTGACCACTAAAGAAGGTGCCAGCATACAGACAAACGAGGGAGCGATAAAAAACTCTGGAATGTTTTAGTTGGAAGACTATGGCAAAGGCTATATTAAAATAATGGAAATAACACACATGTACATTAATTACAAATTTTATTTACAGTCTTCATTTTATGAGTTGTGCAGCCTAAACTGTCATTATCCTGTTTAATTAATTTTAAGATGCATAATTTCACATATAAATATCCCAGAAATTAGACACTATTGACCCAACAGCAATTATGATGTAATTATAATTAGAGACTGTCTCTTCAGATGAAGGAAGGACCAGCAATGTAGCAGCACATCAGGCCCACAAAATCTTTAGTCCAGTGGCAGGGAGAGGGCAACTGCAAGCTGATGGCAGTATGAGGTCACCCAACACTACCTGAGGTATACAGAGCTTATCCTGACCACAAGAGCTACCGACCTCACTGCGTGTCTGAGAAATGAAAAGGACAGTGCTGTCGCTTAAATGGTAAGCCTCGAATGCTACAGTTAATAGATGGTTTAGCAAGTAGCAAGTTAGGAGCTTAATCTAACTAAACTGGTGTTGTATCAACTGTGTACTTCATAGTAACAAATTCACCAAATCTGTATCCTCTTATTTCTTTGTAACAGTGTTAAATATTAACATCCCAGTTCTCAAGTGTGATCCCAGCAGCTATGGTGAACCCATTACTGCTCCTGAATTTCCCACTTTCATTTGTCTTCATTGATGTCACTGTCACTGTCACTATCACTGTCGCTGGTCAGTGCAGTTAGGTTGCCCAGGGCTTCCCTGTAAGGAAAAGAAACTGGAGGGTTACACTGCAAATCAGCCGGAAGCTGGGGTTCTTGGTATATGACACTCACCTCTAATCTATCCGTTTTGAAATAGAAAAAGGGACCCTGCAGCTGCATGAAACTGTATTAAGAACAAAGGAAGCCCAGGTGCGATAGCTCACGCCTGTAATCCTAGCACTCCGGGAGGCCGAGGCAGGAGGAACCCTTGAGCTCAGGAGTTTCAAGACCAGCCTGAGCAAGAGTGAAACCCCGTCTCTATTGAAAATAGAAAAATTAGCCAGGTGCCATGCATGTGCCTGCAGTCCCAGCTACTTGGGAAGCTGAGGCAGGAGGATCCCTTCAGCGCAGGAGTTTGAGGTTGCAGCAAGCTATGAGGATGCCACTGCATTCCAGCTAAGGTGACAGAGTGAGACTCTGTCTCAAAAAAAAATTACAAAAAACCAAACAACAACAACAAAGGAAAAAGTTCCAATAGCCAAATCGATAGGCTTCCCTGACTTGTATGACAAATGAAATTGTCACTCAACTACTACATTCTGACTTTTTGTTAGGAAATATAGGGGACAGAAAGCTATAAACATGAATGGGCAGATGGACAAATGGTCTGTACCATTTTATAACCTTTCCCTATGGTGAGGACACAAGACCCACTTACTTTTGTTCCTGGTTGATTGCAAAGTCAGTCATTACTCTCTGGATGAGGCCCTCACAAATCGGTAAGCTGAAGGCACTTGCCAGCTTTACCACCTCAATGGCCTGCACAGGACTGTTAGACACTTTTGCACTGTCCATAAACTCATTCAGCAACTCATTTCTGTAGAAGAAGGGCAAAATGTGAACATTCTCCAACTAAGCCCCTAAACCCCTTCAGTCAAAGATTTAAAGGCAAGATCCAGTATAAATTCAGTAATAAAATCCTTAATAGAAGCTTTGGAGGCATGAAGTTAGACATGAAGTCTAACTTTAAAGGGCCAAAGAATTATGAACATTCATTCAACATGCCGTCACTGAGGATCTACTCAACATATATCCTATGTGTTGATAATTGAGCACTGATAAAAAACAGTGCTTACCTCAGGATGCCCTGGATGGTAGGAGAGACTGACAAACAAACAGGATTGCCCAAATGTGGTCGCTGAAGTATGTGAAGAAATTCCAATCACCCACAATGAGTCAAACCCATGGCAGCTACTTCCAGGCTGCACAGGGGGTGGGGGTGGAGGGGTGGGAGCAGGGCTGTTAATTTCAACTTACCTAGGGATCTTATTATGCTTTCTGAAAAGCCCCAACATTTTCCTGTTGAAGATGAGACAGGAGAAAGATCATAAATACTAACTAATAGAAAAACAAAGCAATCAGATAACTGTAGCTGTCCTAGCCCTGTTAGCTACTGAAGACACACATCGGTGGCCTCACTGGCTCCCAACTCTGTACATCACAATCACCTCAGGTGCTTAAAATCCCTCCCCACAAACTCCATATATCTATATTACAAGTTTCACAGGTAAATCTGATATACTGCCAGTGTTGAGAACTACTGGTACTGGTTGAGTATCCCTAATCTGAAAATCCGAAACGCTCCCCAATCTGAAACCTTTTGAATATGAACATGATGCTCAAAATTTCACAATTCCAAATTTTTAGACCAGGGATGCTGAACTGGTATGTATAATGCAAATATTCTGAAACCCAAAACACTTCTGGTCCCAAGCATTTCAGATAAGGGATACTCAAACCTGTATTTGTCCTCTTATATAGGATCATCTCTGTCCGCCCAGGGAGGGAATATATCCTACGTACAGTCGGGGGAGGCGTGGAACAGAGCATAGTCCGTTTCCCTCTCATAATTACGTTATGATGAGCAGGCTCAGATTGAGGCAACAGTCTCATGTAAGTGCTCACCATCAGCCTGCCACGTGCAGGACAAAGGAGAAACACATACATTCAGCTCCCATGACTCAGCTGAGGTCCGTACCCCTGCGCCAATCATCACAGCCTGATTATAGCACGTGTGTGCCAGCTAACACACACTTTGTTAACTAAGCTAACAAACAAATGCAAATGTCAAATGTTTCTGTCACCAGCAGCAGCACAGCTGCTAACAGGTCGTGTGCGTGTGAGCCACACCTGTAGACAAGTTGAGGCAGAAAGCCTTCATCTTTTGCTGAAGATAGTTAATAGCCACATATACTTTCTCATACAAGGAGCCACGCTTAAGTACCCCCAACTTACTGATTCAGCCCACACATATACAACACAGGATACAACAGAACCACCTGTGACTACCCCTACCAAAGTATCCTTCTGTCAACTTCTGGAAAAATGAATATGCATAAGGTCTCCATTCTAAAACACTAAAAATTAGCATGTGAATAAAGTGCTGATAAAAACATAAGCAGAATACAGTGGCACAAATCAAAGATGGGTGCTAGTCAAGGCCATGTTTAATAAATGCACTTAAACACAAGCTTCCAGAAATCCAAGTACAGAGCCTACATTTTAAGCTGAGGGGTAGAGTAGGAGGAGCACCCAAAAATGATGCTTCAATAACCCAAAAGACCAAAACATTTTCAAAACGTTTTTTTGATCATATTGTTCCACGTAAGTGGACAAATGAGGTTAAGTGACTTAATTGCCCACAGGAAGCAGAAAGGTCAGAAATGGAAAGAGAATTCTCAGCTCATTGGAACCACACCTTCTCTCAAGTACATTATGCATGTTGGTCTTCTTCTAAAAGTTTGCTTTTTAGCATTTCCCATCAAGTGTCTGTTATATATTCTAGTTTGACTCCTGATAAACTACATGTCATACAGCCAAATCGGAGAGTCTCTACCGACCTGGGTGAATGTTTTAGAGCCAATGTTTAGATCCTAATTTATACTTGTGGTATTGTACTCACCAGGCTTCCTGGGTTCTCCCAGCCCTTAAAAAGAGGACAGCTATACAGTTAAGAGGGATGGCAGGCCAATCCGGGGCAGCCTGTCTGGCATCCTGGCGTTCATATGTAGATTTGATATCAGCAGCACAGTCAGCAAACTCCACCTGAAGCTGAGAGGGTTTCAGAGTCAGCAAAATTGCCTAACTGGTTTAATGAGAATTTCAGTTCAGGGAGACTACCTACCATAGGACCATTAAAATTTTTGAGCCATCCATTTTACCATTTGAATATATCACGTGTGTATTCACGTGATATACAATACACAACTAATATGGTAAAAAGAAAAAAGGACCCTGTCCTGGGATAAATAATTTGATTAGTTAGCCACATCTTTCAAATTCAACTATGGGTTTTCTTTTTAGCTGGAAATTGTTTTTAAAAGTAAGCTGAAGACAGAGAAAAGCTAATTTCATGTTGCTTGCTTTGGACTACAGGAATGAGGGTGACTTTAGGAATGGTATTCTGCTAACAGCAAGATATGTTTAGATGTTTCATAACTTAAATCTGGTTTTGGGTGGCAGAACTCTCCACAATGATAGATGAAACCCAGGAAACTAATCTTTTTTCTTTTTATTTCAGCATATTATGGGGGTACAGATGTTTAGGTTACATATGTTGCCCTTACCCCCCCTCCCCCAAATCTTAAAGCATCTCAGTATTAGAAGATATATGAGTTAGTATATATCTAATAACAGTAACAAAACTTGAGTTTCAATACAGACCTACCTGTGGTGGGTGTTTATCCCTTGCCATGAGAATCAGGATCTCTTGCCTCAGTTCAGTGCGAAAAGTATGACCATATTCTTTACTATCTTGAAACAAAAAAGGAACACAGGAGTGATCACTACCATGTAATACCAATACTCTTTTTGGCTGGCTTTTGCCCAATGTCAGCTGTCAACCTTATTTTTTGGTGGGCAAAAATTAGTTGCTGAAATTATTTATTCCAGGTTTATCCAGGATTCCAGAAAACTGGCAGGATGACTCACAGTAAGAAAAAGTAAGAGTAGTGAAAGCCAATGCCAGTAACTGGTTCCCAGTCAAGTATTAAACACTGCTCCATATTGTAAGACACTGTTTTATAGTACTTGGAAGTTTTCAATGTTATTATGATTGTTTTTTTCAGATTTAGATTCTGCAATGGACAGGTTTGGATTTATGACAGGCCCATCCTCAGCAAACTCTGACCCTGATCCATTGCCTGGCCTCTGTGCCCTAGTTTGTTGCACAGTAGAAGAAAAAAAGAAAAAAAAAAAAACAAACAAAAAAACCCTAACCTTTCCAAATTTGAGGAATCATTTCTAGCCGATTGGCCACATCCAGTGCTTGGAGAAGATCTATCAATGTTTGGGAGTGGGGAAAGAAGACCTGATTAAGAGAAGAAATACATTTTTAAAGCACTAACCAGCAAAGATACCCACAAATTCATCTACAATGATAAATGACAAGTAATGAACCATCTTACTGAAGGTATCAGGTCCTTATACCACTTCAAGGTGACATCAATTTGTTCCATTAGACAAATTAAAGTGAAGAACTTAGAGCTGTCATGGAGAGAAAAAGTACAGTTAGTCTAAAATCCCTACGTGTAACAAGAGGAGAAATAATTAGTGAAATTATAGCATAGTTAGTTACATGATATGTTACAAAGAACTTTAAAATATCTACAAACAATTAAAGTTTCACAGGCCAGTGCTTGAACCAGAAGTTGCTAACCTGTGCTCAACTTCCCAATTAATACCATCTTACCCCCAACTGGTCATTTATGACTGCCGCCTCAGTACACTCTTAGGTCGTGGCAAGCAGGTACTAAATATTGTATTCATTTTAAAAACATTCAGTGTGAAGCAAGGATTTGGACAGACAGACAAAACAATCCTCACACACTTGTTAACGGATTACCTCCTTAAGTTCATGTTTTTATCTGCCTAAAAGCAAATCCATTAAGGGAACCTCTCTAGGCTCCAGTACTTTGATCTTTGAATATAAAAGCAAGGGGCTGGGATGAAATCTTTAGGGACTCACCCTGCTATAACCATTTGAAAATATAAGAGGACCATAAAGGAAAAAGATACGTAGATTTTTAAAGTGTTGCAAAGAAAAAAATCTCAAAGGATACAAATTAGACTTCCAAATCTAGCAGTTTTACCACGGCTTTAATTTCTAAGTGCTCAATTAACCTGTTAACTATTAAATCATGGGAATGCTGCCTGAATCCAGACTTGAGCTATAAAGGGCCACCAACAGCCTCCCACTTGCAGACTCTACTAATTAATGCAAAAGGATACATTTCCAACACACTCACTAATAGAAATTACGACGATGATCAGATCCAATCAATTTCCAGTTGTCTCCAGTGTTTAAAAGGCCATGTACTTGGTAAGCAAGGTCTAGATCTCTGAGAGATGAGCACTGAAAATTTGCAAGTATTAAGTATCACAGTGATATCCTTGTCAGCCAAAGAGCTGTTCATTACATAAAGAAAAAATGTAAAGTTCCTTGTGAAAATGCTGACTTAATTTACTATTGGTTGACAGCAAATAAGTTACAAGAAATTGGTGGTGGGGGGAAACAAACACCAAGTTTTCTTAAATTTTTAACAAAATTATTTTGATTTAGCAATTGTACCTTTAGAAAGTAATTGTACAAAAACACCTGGTCAAGCGCACAAAAGACACCTGGAATGCTCTGTCTACCACCACTGCACTAGCAAAAACTCCATAAAGTAACTAAAAACCACTCACAGAAGAGTTAAATTATAGTTCCTTCCTCCTATGAAATACTGGTTGCTGTCAACAAATAAAACACCATGGAAGTGTATCTGGGTGTACATACATTTGAGAAGCCAGAGAAAAAAACCTGGGAGGATACATACTAAATTATCCTTACGGAGTAGGATAATTTTTTTCACCTTAAAATTGCTTGAAATTTTTCCTACAATGAGCATGATAAAACAAAAAACTGAAATAAAAACCACTATCAATTTTAAAAGTTCCTAATATGAAATACTCTGAAAGCTTATTTGAGCAGAGGCATGAAAAAAGGCAATATATACAGTAAACACAGGGTAGGAATGTTATATGATTAAAAAGTATAGATTTTAGGGAAAGAAGGAAAACAAAAGCAAAGACATGAACAGAACTAAGAAGAAGTGAAAGAACCAAGGAGAACTCTCCAATTACAGATGAATTTTGGAAATGGATAGTAACCTTCTTCCAAAAAAGGAAAAAGAAGTTAAGTAAGAGATGGTACTTACAACTTTCATGGCTGACTGAAAAAACAAATCTGAAAATCAAAGTTCACAAGACCTTTGGTTACTATGGATAAAATATATTTTCAAGTCAGTAACATTAATAAAAATCCAACAAAACTGCTAAGGTATAAGATAAAGCTAAGGGAATCGACACTCAAGAAAGGAAGTATACACCAATGTGCCAGACATTTTGGCTTTCTCAGAATGATCACCCCAAATATTACTAAGCTAAAAGGAAACCCTGCCCTCATCACAAGGCCTCTAAATAACTGGCACTCAGGAAAACCAGCCCTGTCTTTAGAGGAGGAAAACACAAGCAATTTCTGAACATACCATCATCCAAGTCCTTTGGAGAAAATTTTTTTCCCATTAATTCATTCATTATATCATAGATGATCAGGGATGATCCTTTTGAAGGGCCTTCTACAGAACAAGAAAGTAAATGTGTTTTATCATGAATCTACTTCCTGTACTACCACCAAACTCACAGCATGTAGTACAAAGGGACACATTTCTCCTTCTTACATCTCCAGCCTAAAGCCTGGCACAGAGCTGGGCAGGGGGCCAATGTTTGCGAAAGGAATCACTGCACCCTGCAGAATCCAATTCTGTTAGATCTGTGACAAACATAGGTCTCTGTGCAGGTGCTCAGTCCCTTCCTTCTTCATTTCTTCACAAGCCAGACTCTGACTGGAGTGGGAGGCAGACACCAACACACACACACCCTCACCAAAGCATCATACTTAGAAAAAAAACATGTTTTCTGCTAGTAATCACTTGTGTTCCTTTAAACGTAATCAGAATGAGAAGGCCAAGAAAAAGGAAACCAGAGAATTGATGGGGGCAGTTCTTAAAAATCACACGAGCTGAACACTAACAGGTCAGAAAATCCACCTACATTCACCTATGTTATTCCTAGTCAAATACTTATCTATACTCCCTTCCTGACCTTTTGTACATGTAAGTGATAACATAGTTATAATGATAGCACAGATATATTTTCACAATTTCCTCAAGCATGTTTCCATTTGCTAACCTTCCTAATGATTTTATTAGTTACATAATATTCTAGTTTATATGTATTATTTCTATGTTATTTTAAGTGCTCCCCTTCAGGTAAATTCCTAGAAATTATTATGGCAGACAGCCAATTTACATACATAAGACAAACCCACACTCCTTCCCCCACCCTAGTCCACATGGTCATGGCTACTATTTAGGAAATACAAGTACCTTTCACTTTGGTTAGCACCGAACCAAAGTGATACATGATAGTATGAGGAAAGGAATAGAATTTGAGGTCAGATATACTAATTTCACCACAATCTCATAAAGTTTTAAAGGATCTAGTTATCATGGAAACTGCTTATCTGTTTCCAAGATAAAATCAGTCACCTGTTTGGTTTTTTCACTAAAAAGATAATTAAAAAACAAAACAAAAAACTTTCCTATATAGGTGAGGATGTGGATTCTGCAAAATTAGCCCTTCGAACCAGAGAATCAAGTTTCTACCTATAGTTCTTATAGTCTATCAGGAGAAGGAATGAAGAGAACTGTCACTTCTGAACCCGAGGGTACTTTCATAGGCTGGGGGCAAAGAGGTAAGAACCAACAGATTCTGAGTGCCTACCGTATGCCTTCCAAGCATGGTACCAGCCACTGTTGTGTTATTTATTTAATCACCACACCCTGATATGATTACTCAGATAGGTATCCAATCCCTTTGACACAGCTGGTAAATATATGGTCTAGCTGAAATTTCAGCTCAGGTGTGCCTTGCTCCAATGCCCATTCTACAGAGCACAGCTCTAACTGGAACTGACAAAAGTGGGTGACAAATGGAGCCTCAAGGTCCTCCCAAAAGGCTTCACAATTAATTCAACCTTCCTCCAGAGTGGTACTGTCCACTAACTTTCTGAGAAGATGGAAATGTTCTATATCTGCATCATTCAGTATGGGAGTCACTAGCCACGTGGTTACTAAGCACCAATACAAAAAAAAAAAAAATTTTTTTTTTTTTACTTAATATTTTTTAGAGACAAGAGTCTCATTCTATCACACAGACTAGAGTGCAGTGGTGTGATCATAGCTCACTATAACCTCAAACTCCTGGCCTCAAGCCATTCTCCCGTCTTGGCCTCCCAAAGTGCTGGGATTATAGGCATGAGCCACTGCGCCTGGCCTATTTTACTTAATTTCATTAGGTAATCGCATATTAAGTAAAATTCCATTGGCTAATGGCATAGCTCTGGAGAACAAAAGGAACTTCAAACTGAAATACCTTCTGTCCATTCCTATTTGTACACCAAAATTGCTAGTACATTTTATAACCCTCTCCCTTCCAGCTCAAGTTTTATATCAAAAACAAGATTACTACTCTCGAGTATAGCTTTTTGCTCAGGCTGTACATGTTAATTTATGAATTCTCTTTTCTTAATTCATATGCAGAGAAAGTAACTTGCAACAATTAATCACATAAATTCAAGGAAGTGGTCAATTTTCTACATAAATTAATACAATTTAAGGCCATACATACCTTGTTGATAAAACAGCTGAATAATATGGTGATATGTTGCAAGCGAGGGTTCTCAAATTACCAGGTAGATGGAAAGAATAAGAAATAAAGTAAAAACACAGCAATCTAAAATATAGCTTAGTGAGGCACACTGAATTAAAAACCTACTAATGTTACTATTTAAGCAAAAGATGCATTTCTATTCCTTTGAATAAAAATATTTTTTAGCTCACCTAATTAATGTAAAGGTGAAAAATTATCATAAAGATTATATCACTTTCACAAAGTCAAAATACCTATTACCAATAAGATTCTTCATTGAGAACAGTAAAGCATATTGTAGTGAACTGACTTCCAAAGCAACCTTCGATAAATAATTAATGAAAAATATACAACAGTTCACTTCCTTTTTTTTTTTTTGAGACAGGGTCTCCCTCTGTTGCCAGGGCAAGAGTGCAGTGGTGTCATCATAGCTCACAACCTCAAACTCCTGGGCTCAAGGGATCCTCTTGCCTCAGCCTCCCAAGTAGCTGGGCCTATAGGCGAGCAACACGATGCCCAGATAATTTTTCTATTTTTTTGTAGAGACGGGGGTCTCGCTCAGGCTAAAAATACACAACATACAAGCACACGCTTGGGTTCAAATACCTAATTATGCTAGAAAAATGTCAAGAAATTTAAAACTAGGTAACTCGAAGTGATCAACTCTCATAATCAAAAGACCCATTAAAATGTGCCTAAAATACTAAAAGAATACTCTAATTTTCTGTAAAGAACATGAAGATGATAAAGGCGCTTCCACAATAAGTTGATGTAATTAAGTTTACCAGATGTGGAAAGGAAATTTCTAACATATGTAAACAGCAAAAGAATTTACATGTCTCATTCGCTTATGTGGCCCTGAAATGTCTGGTCAGAAGGGTCTTCAGTGAGGACCCCAAGATGCACCCTCACCTATTCCGACGGCTTTCATTTCACGTAAGGTCCGTAAGGCTGGCACTCTTGCAAGTACATAAAATCTTCGGAGACATTTCAGAATGGTATTAAAAGTCTGCAGATTTGGTTTTACCTTCTGTGCAACCATTTGTTTCAGTAGCTCCTAGTTAAATCAAGAGCAAGCAGTTTTTATGCCTGGGTAGACAGTTTGCCCTACAATCTGTATTTCATACAAAAAGAGAGGATTTAGCTTTCTTGCTATGTCTACAGCAGGTTAGTAACTATATCTTTATTTTAAGAATTGCTTATTAATTAGGACCAGTGATTCTGCCTTTTAGAGAAGCCCCCAAATCAATCATCCACCCTACTTGATGAAGGTGTCCAACTGTCCTCACTCCTCTACCTATGAGAGCTTTCCAAGAAAAGACTCAAGCAAAACATTAGACCAGGATACAAAACATGTTTCTATTCCTAAGTTACCAGACAAGAGTCCATCCAGCAATTTCAATTTTTTGAACTTCATGATAGGAACTTCACAATAAATATGTGTGACTTTTGTAACAGAAAAATTGTTACGAGAAATACATGAATAAAGCAACCCAGGTCTTCCAGAATTCTAGCTATATGCTCTGGGTCAAGTAACTTTTTCTTTTCATGTGTCTGACACAGCTACTTAACCTATAAGGCTGCTGGAAGGGTGGTTTAACAGGTAACTGCTATGCAGTGACTGTCATATAGATAGATACTCAATGAATGCTGTCTTTCCCCAGTGTATTTCTGGTAAAGGACATTTAAGGCCTATTAAAAGATAAACTGAGAGTTTCTCCTTACCAGTGTACTATTCCATTTTTCCTCAAAATTCTCATCCATCCTCCATATTGTTGCTTCAATCAATGCATTGAATGTGTATACATCAGCTGTAAAAGAGTAAAATAACAAAATTTGAGGTTGAAGATTAACCCCTAAATAGCTGAGTTTAAGGCAAAGTGGTCATTCCTATATGTCTCTTGGCTAATCACCACATTCCACAAAACTGGAAAACAACTCCCCTCTCTAAATCTTTCCTCCTGCTTCAGTCACCAATGTCACAGGAAACAGTAAAATGTAGACCAATGATTGAGGAAAGATCCAAAGACTTTACAGATTCTTCAGAGAAGGAAAGAAAAGGAGAGAGGGATGGAGGGAAGTTCTCAAAACAAACTCACCATGGAGTCTGTTGTTTAATAATTCAGTGTACAAGTTTAACGCCTGCTCATAAGCTCGGTGCTGGAAAAGGAAAAATTAAGCATCATCAAATTCATTCAAGTATTTGCATATCTACTGTTCTAGGGTTTGGAAATAGAGCAGTAAACAAAACAGACCAGGCTCTTTTCTTGTGAAGCTTATACTCTAGTGCAGTGGTCTTCTACCCAGGGGACACTGGGTAATACCTGAACATATTTTTTTTAGTTGTCACGCTGAGGATGGGAGAGAGTATACTATTCATATCCAGTGAGTAGAGGCCAGGGAGCTCCTAAACATCCTACAACGCACAGGACAACCCCCTACAACAAATTATGTGACCCAAAATGTTCGTAGTTCTGAGGCTGAAAAACCCTGACTTAGTGGAAATTAAAGATAAAAATAAGTAAAACAAAGGTACCTTCACCATTCCTCGGATCATTGTGCAGTAGGAATATGCATTTTTCTCTGGCATCAGAGCAAAGATTCTCTCAGCATTGTTTTTTGCTCTAGACGCAAGAGAGTAAACCTGAGTCAGGGAAACAGGAAAAACCAATAATAGCTACCACCATTCACTAGCAGCTTATAATGTTCCAGACAGTGTGCTAAACACTTTATGCATATTTCAAATAATTCTTACCACCCAGAAAAGGAGACATGGTTATCATTATTTTGAAAATGGGGAAAAAAATCGAGGCTGAAAGACCAGGGCTTTGCAGTTATATGACAGAATCAGAATTGAAAAGGAAATGTTTATGCACAAGTAATGAATACCCATGGTATTAAAACAAAAAGCAAACTGTAGGGCAGAGAGGTGGTTCATGCCTGTAATCCTAGCACTGAGAGAGGCCAAGGCAGGCAGATCATTTGAGCTCAGGAGTTTGAGATCAGCCTGAGCAAGAGCGAGGCCCCATCTCTATTAAAAATAGAAAGAAATTAGCTGGACAACTAAAAATATATAGAAAAAATTAGCTGGGCATGATGGCACATGCCTGCAGTCCCAACTACTCAGCAGGCTGAGGCAGAAGGATTGCTTGAGCCCAGGAGTTTGAGGTTGCTGTGAGCTAGGCTGACGCTACAGCACTCTAGCCCGGGCAACAGAGTGAGACTCTGTCTCAAAAAAAAAAAAACCAAAATCTTTCAGAATTAGAAGTACATATTCCAAGGCAGCATTGCTGATGAAACTACCAAAGGAATCATACCATGTCGAGGTTGTGCTGACTGGGAAAAAAGAAAATCAAGCACCAACCTCTAAATATAATAGATTCTTGTGCTGCTGGCTGGAGTTTAAGACCTTACAATTAAAGGTCTAAATGCATATGAATACGAATTGTGAAACTTATAATGCACAATAAAAACAGACTATTTTAGAACATCTTAGGATTACGTCTTCTTCAGGGAGTGATGGGACATATTCCATGTACCATAAAAAACTGTAATACAAGGTTCTAATTATGTGTAATATACCTCCATGTAACTCCAGATTGATGACCAGCCTTCTTCCTAGATTTCTTGTTACTTTCCTCTTCCTCGAATGAAACACCATTAAGAGAAATAAAAGACAATGGAATGCATTCTCCCAGTCAGACTACTCAAAATCAAAAGGGTAAAGGGAACTCAGAAAAAAATAAAGAAAATATAGATCCAGCAAAAGGCAAAGAGGAAGCCCAGTAAATACGTACACATTTATATTTAACTTCTTAAGTATAAATCAGTGAATTCACAGATTTTGAAAAGCAAAGTTGGCCCTTAAAGCAACAGTGACGACCTGAAGGTGAGATGAAGCTAGTGCCCTGTAAAGCCTGGCCCACAGGTATAAACTGGAAAACCAAACACGGCTTGCTTCTTCAAAGCCTACATCTGGCCTGATCCACAAAGAAATACTGTTCATTATTAGAGTGAAAGCAAGAAAAGACAACATATAGCTAATGTCTAACACTAATCGGAACAAACCACAACTTTTTAAAAGACTAAAGTCTTGTCCTGTATTTATAAACCAAGCTGCTGCAGAGAGACAGGGTTGGTTGGCACTGCAGAGGTCAGTGTTGGGTCTGCAGCCTACTGCCTCAAGAATTGGGGATGGAGAGGCAGAGGGCCAGCTAGGCCAGGGCTTCAGGAGAAGATGCTCTGGAAAGCAAGGTGTGACTGCAACCCACTCCCTATGCACTTCAATTAAAAGACTTAAGGTTTTCTGTATATAAAAAATCCACATTTTGGCCGGGCGCGGTGGCTCACGCCTGTAATCCTAGCTCTCTGGGAGGCCGAGGCGGGCGGATCATTTGAGCTCAGGAGTTCGAAACCAGCCTGAGCAAGAGCGAGACCCCGTCTCTACTAAAAATAGAAAGAAATTAATTGGACAACTAAAAATATATAGAAAAAATTAGCCGGGCATGGTGGCGCATGCCTGTAATCCCAGCTACTAGGGAGGCTGAGGCAGTAGGATCGCTTGAGCCCAGGAGTGTGAGGTTGCTGTGAGCTAGGCTGACGCCACGGCACTCTAGCCGGGGCAACACAGTGAGACTCTGTCTCAAAAAAAAAAAAAAAAAAAAAAAATCCACATTTAGTGGAGAAAAATGAGAAAAGATATAAAGAAAAATACCCATAATAATCCCATTATCCAGAGATAAACACCTTTTAAATTTTTTCTTATGCATATGAAAAAACATTTTTACAAAAATAGAATATGTATTTATTACTGTATAACCTTTTCCCTACTTATACATGCTAAATCTTTCCACACCCAAATAGATCTACACTAGTGCACTCAATAGCTACAAGACACTCTTTTACCATAATTTGATCTACTATTGAACATCTAGACTGTTTTCAACATTTTTGCCATTTATAAGTACAAATACTTCTTTGTCTCTGTTCATCCGATGCAAAGGATTCCTTGGGACCTTATTTCTAGAAGTAAATTCTAGAGTTGAGATAGGCTATGACTCAACAAACAGGTGGCTCCTGGCACACCACTATTCTGTACCCTCAGCCTAGCATGCTCCCTCCTCTCTGCCTATGTATGTATGAATTTTTGATGGGGCCCAGGCAAAGGAGTCTTTCCTTGGCCATTACAAATCATGTTGTCACTGTGAGAGAGAGGCAGCCTTAAACATTTCTGATCAAAGCATTGCCTGAATAGGAGGTAGGCAAAGACAAGATATTTCTTAAAAGGAACCAGGGTTAATTTAAATTATTAAAAATCTTTCTCTTCCTCCTGCACCAACTTTTTATCAAGGCTATCATACCACACCACACCACATCTCAGTACAAATCTCTTACTACTACCCTGACACATGACACAAGAACCCATCTTATTTTCAGAAAGCATTACTTCTACGGGGGAGGGGGGAGGAGGGGATGGGTATATGCATACACAAAGAGTGCGATGCGCACCATCCCAGGGATGGACACGCTTGAAGCTCGGACTTTGGGAGGGGGCAAGGGCAACATACGTAACCTAAACATCTGTACCCCCATAATATGCTGAAATAAAATAAAAATAAAAATAAAGAAAGTATTACTTCTAAAAGATACTTAAAAAAAAAAAAATCAATGCCAAAAGTAGTTACCAGTTCTTCTGACTGTTCAGTTTGCTGAAACTGATAATTAGTTGAGGGCTCTTGGTCACCATAGTAACACAATAAATCCAAGAGATTATTTGTTGTTTTAAGAGAGACAGTGGTTCCTGTGGGTAAGTGAAACAGAAAAGAAACCTTGAAACACTCAAGAACTAAAGCCTGTTAGATTAAAATTCTTTGCTTTTTCTATTATCTGTGGCTTTGCTGATAACATACTTAATATCATCTACCACTTTTTCAACTGAGGACTATGTACCCAACATCAACTTAAAACACCTGGAGTGATGCATACAGGGACACAATCCCTATTACCTGTGCGGTTTGACATAGAAGATTAAAATACAAGACGAAGTTTGACCCTGTGAACACTTAATTTATGTGATCATATCCTTAGAGAAACTATCTCATGATTTTGTTTATCACCTTTAAACTGAACACTATAAAATATCCTCACTTAGTTCCCTTGGCCCAGGTCCATTTGGACAAACATAAGTAGAATGATTCCATTTGGATCCAGACCTTCACTAAAATCGTCCCTAAAAATAGTAGCATAATTGTCTAACTATAGCCTTTTAAAAATTATCTTTCAAAACATTATGCTCCCATTCTGACACTCATTAAAAAGAGGGGAAAAAAGGGCACAGGAAGGAAAAAAAGTATGAGATATAATCTACTGTTTTAAAAGAAAAGTAAGTACATCGTTCTAAACAATGCATGGTGATAAATAAAAATGCCCATCAGGAAATTTAAAAGCCCAGAAAGAAAGCACAGCACAGTGAACAGGGCACAGGCTATGGAGTGCAACTCAACTGGGTCATACTGTCTCAGAGTCTCAGAGTTGTGAGACCTGGAAAATTACCTAATAGTTTCCTTTATAAGATTACTATAAAACAAACCAACTTATAAGGTATTATAGAGTTAAACTGAGTATGTATGTGAAATACCTTAGCGGAGTGTTTGCCAATTGCTAGGGGCTTAACAATGAAACTGTCTATGATCCCTTCCCTGGTGTGTTAGCTCACTGTTACTGAGCTATGGTTCTGACACCTGTCTTTATTGAATGTACATATCTACACCACAAAGTGGGTAAAACTAGAAAAAGACAAGCTTTAACACTGAGAACTTGAATGCAGACTCATACCAGATGTTGATTATATTCAAGAAGCAGAGGGGAAAGCCTCACTAAATTATAATATGCTACCATCATCCAGTTGTCCATCTGATGCTATACTAGGCTGCATACCAAAATTCTCAAACATAGCTTTCTGCAAATGTTTGTATTCAAGTGTATACTGAGTAATTCAGTCCAGTTTCCATCTCTTCCATGTTTAGCTGATTTTTATCTTAAATCACCAAACAGCATTCTAGAGTCCCAAAAACTTAAACAATGCCAGCTGCCTTTGATGTTGCTGTCCATATATTCTCACGATGGCTTATTAGCCGTGCTTTCTAGATGTGTATACCTGGAGGTTCATCACCTCTAATTCAGAGAGCCACAGGATTTTACAGCTAGCAGCTCTGAGGAATTAGGTAACTTTCTGAAGGCTATGGAACAATTAGTGTCAGAGCTGGCACTAGTATCAAAGCCCCTGAATCCAGTTTAGTGCTCTTTCCTTTTTTCAATATTTCTTTCTTATCTGTTGTGGTCCTGCCTTCCAAACATACTTAAAGAGTACAGGAAATTTGAATACATTATGTACACATCTAACATTAAAAAGGGAAGGTAAGGAAGAATGATTATATAATTTCTCTGCCAGTGGTACAGCACAATAAACTAACAAAGTTGCAATTCTATCTCATCTATTATTTTAAAGTGAAGCGAAAGTAGAACATGAAATATTATTAAACTATTGAAAATATAAACAAGACAGCCATCACGCAGAGTAAGTATAGTAGTACTTGTAACTTTTACTCAAAACTTTCTGGATCGTATAACTGTGGCCCACTTCAAGGTTATGTTCCTAGAGCAGCTTTAATCGAACTTAGTCACCTGCTTGCAAAAGCTGATCAAACATGTCCACAGAGGCTTTGACTTTTTTGAGCTTGATTCGTTCCTTTAGGGCAGCTTCACTCACTTCTTCAATCTGAGGTTCAAAGTACTCAGGCATTAAACACTACGAAAACAAGACGGTTAAAGTTACTACAAGCAGGTAAAGGTGAAGGGATGACTGAGCAGAACAAAATTTTTACCACTAACACACCAAAATAAAACTTCATCATTCCAATTCATGTTCCTGTACCAGATACTATTTATCATTTTAACATGACTGTTTTTGTAGAGAATCTAACTAAAAATATTAAGAAATGACAAAAAAAAGTTCCCCAGTCTTTGAGACAAGAAGATTATTTAGCTATCTCCTAGCTTGACAAGAATTTAAAAGTACCCAACATAAATATTTAATCCATATCTGAACATCCCTACTTCCAAATAAATTCCCCAACTTCAAGCTGAACTTACTATTTTTTCCCCTGCTAAAACCATTTTTCCTTCTTTACACCAACCATCTTGGCAAAAGGTGTCAGAGGGCACCCAGTTTCCAAAGGGAGAAACATTTTTCATCCTTAATGCTGCTTTTCCTCTAAACATCTAATACTACTCAAGGTATTTTAACACCTTCACTAATTCATTCAAATACTTTTGAATGCCTACTACTTTACTCCAGGCACCTAAGCTAGGCACTTGAGGATACAGAGATGAAAGGCATTCTCTATGCTAAGGGTGCTCACGATCTAATGGAGAAAGCAGATAAGGAAATCATTATAAGACAGTGTGAACAGTGCTGCCCACTGGATACTGGGGACTCTTGGAAGGCTTCAAGCAGAGTGACCTTGGAGCTATGCACAGGAAAATAACTGTTAGTCAAAAACATAAAGGGGAAAGCATAGGCTAACAAATGATTATTCTATCACTGCCATTGTCTTAGTTCAGGATTTTAGTATTTTTTTCTTTATGTACACAATGGAGCTGGCTTTCTAACCCATAACTAGGAGTTGCAGCATGAGAATAAGAAGGGTGCAACTGGGTGTGAGTTTTCGGAAAAAGGGAGCTAGGAGGGTAAGGGAGTGGTTTTAGACATGGTGAGTATGAGGTTAGTATTTCCACTAATAAACTCAGAAGGGCAGACACACATCGTTTTGCTCGCCACTGTATTGCCAGCACTAAGCACAATGCCTACCACAAAGCAGGCCCTGCATATGTGCTCACTATATCACTGCATGACTACGGAACAAAGAAGTAGTTGAAATAGTTTGGAGTTCAGAGCAGAGGAATCTAAGCTAGATATACAAGAAAGGTAAAAGGTAAGGTAAAAGGTAAAAAGGTAAAAATCCAACAATGTAGTGTCACAGAAACTAAATATGGAAAATATAAAACAAGGGCGAATACATTCAAAAGGCATTGTCAACGGTTAGTGTGAGCAAAGACCACTCCTCACTTTGATAGGCTGTTCATCCAAATATTGAGGGTATTCAAACGGCTACTTAAATATTAGGTATGAAAGGCTGATTTAATTTACATTTATATAGTATTAAGTAAAAAAAAAAATCAACTACCTCTCCTTACCGGTATATGAGGTTCAGCTACATCCTTCTGAAAATATTTGGGATGTGAATTAATAATAAACTTTGCTGCATTCTCCCCAGACTTCTTTGCCAATAAAAATGAACGCTATATAAAGAAAAAGATTTAGATACAAATTGGTATTTACATGTAATTTAGACTCAAGCAACATCAAAGTTATACCCTCAGCAAGAATTATTATTCTCCCCTCACAAACAAGAATGCAATACACAAAATTCCAATTAGAAATTAAATTACAGGCTGGGTATGGTGGCTCATGCCTATAATCCTATCACTTTGGGAGGCTGAAGTTGGAGGATCACTAGAGGCCAGGAGTTCAAAACCAGCCTGAGCAAGAGCAAGACCCCATCGCCACAAAACAAATATTAATAGAAAAATTAGCCAGGTGTGGTGGCACACGTCTGTAGTCCCAGCTACCTAGAAGGCTGAGGCAGGAGGATCACTCTAGCCCAGGAGTTTGAGGTTGCAGTGAGCTATGATGACACCTCTAGCTCTAGCCTGGGAAACAGAGCAAGACTCTATCTCAAAAAAAAAAAAAAAGGAAATTAAATTAACAGTATACCCTACCTTTTCTACTGAGTGACATAATTTTAGGTCATGTCTTATGTATACCTTTAAGTATATAAAAAACAACATATTTAAACTGAGTGGGTCACTCCATTGTATTAAAAAAAAAAAAAAAAAAGCTGTAAGTATTAAAAACCGAAACCCCTCTCCCTCTTCACAGATAGTATGTAGATCTTTTTGATAAAAGTAGTAAAGGCTTCACAAAGCCTATCAATTCATCTATCAGTGTCTGTAAACTTTCCAAAGGTTTTTACAACTATATTATATAGGTATCCTTGTACACTAACCAGCAAGATAAAAAAAATAATACTAGTAAAGTTACATGAAAATACTCACAGATTCCAGAGAGGATGTTGGTATAAGGTAAGGATCATCTTGAAATGAGTAAGGTAGAGCTGTGGTGTCCTGTGGAAAAGACACAGAAATCTTTTCAGCTAGATTTTTATTAAGAGGATCTTCTGAGTTTGGCTGATAACCAAAATTCTATAAAATAAGCTTTAATTATGTATGTAACATATATGCAGAAATATGTATTTATGTGCATGCATATATATTTATATATGTATATACGAAAAGAGAGAGACGGAAGACACATACTATTACACATACTGTACTCTCAGCTCTGCCATGACTCGCCCACAATTATGCAAAACTTAAAGCAAACAATGGCTCAAACTGCCCTATGGCTGCTGCTTAAGATTTGAGTCTGCTATCACTGGGGACTACTGCTGTTTTAAACTCTGAATTAACTAGTCCTGGCACCAGTATCCTGGAACAGGATTTCCTTCAAAGTATGGTCACTATCCATCCATGCACAACTTCATCCTAGAATCCCTCCTCTAAATACTACTGAGCCATCTCAGGAGGGTGAACAGCAGCTTCTCCCGTGTCCTGTTACCCAAGGTTCTGTACTTCTTAAAATTGTTCTAAAATTGCTCCCTAACCCTGAGCATAATCAATTCCCCAGCACCACCAGGGGCCCCACTTAGAACTGCCCCAGAATTATTTCCTCTATTCCTCTCCTCTGCACCCCCTACCTGGGCCTTCTACGGCCTTTGTTCCACAGTAAAAACTCTCCCTGTCTCCTGAATTTCTTCTGACCGTGCCCTTGATGCCTTGTCTTTAAACTAACTTGGACTTCCTGGGGGCAGAGGTTCCCTGCAGCTTTCAGGGGAAAGTTGCTCCGACCTGGAAACTGGAGGCGCTATTTTTTTCGTTGTCCTAGCTTTCTGCTGCCACTTTCCAAACCCCATCCCTCTAGCCCACCACACTCCTCAGGTGAGGCTCATTTCATTTGGTTATACCACTCTCTACCAAGACGTGGTGAGTATGGAAGGTGAGCCTGAAATGGCAGCCGCAGGCTGACTGTCATGGACTACTCCCAGATTACACTCAAACTGTTGCTTGTCTCTGGCTCTGCTTCTCTCCATCACCTTTCAGATCTGTTGGGGCCTCTAGTTTTGGCGACATACTGAACTCTTACATTAGACTCCTTCTTCCTATCTGCCTCCCAATTTCCCTCTCTCAGTGACTTCCAAGTCCTCCACAGTCTGTGAGATACAACCTCTCTCGTCTAGCCCTGTGGCTCAGACACCTCAAACCAAGCTTGTCTGAACCTCCCTGACACAGCTACTCACCCCTCTATCATTATTTCAGTGAATGGCAAAGATCACTCTGTAGTCCAACCCAAAAATACTCTCCCATTACTTCCATTCAACTAACCTGTCATCAGCTTCAGCCAACTCAGCTCCTTGACCTCCCCTACCTACTCTATTCTCTCTTATCCCAACTGCCACTGTCTTAGTTCAGTGTCTTTCTTATTCATTCATCCAATATTTACTGAATGCCTCACATGTGCCAGGGATTATTCCAACAGGCAAACATCCCTGCCCTTTCACATAGCTTGCAATCTAGTGAGAAATAAATCTCTAGAAGATAAAACAAATAAGTAACACCAGGAAGAAGGCAAAGCAAACATTAAAGCCGAGGCAGATGCATGCCTTCTGAGAAACTGAGAAATAGCTGGGAGATCAGTGTAGGTAGAGTTAGCAAGTAACACAGAAGCAGATGTGGCCAGCAGTAACGGGAGACAGATCATGCAGAGTCTAGGAGCCCTAGTATGGACTCCAGTTGTTATTTCAATTACAATAATGTGAAGCTATTCCTGAATTCTGAGTAAAGTAAGCCAGGGTCACTACAGCTGCTGAACTGAGAATACTGCAGAAGGGTTGAAGTGGGAGGGAACAGAGACTATTACAATTAATCCAGGCTAGTGAGAGAGAATGATGAACCAAGGTGATCGGTGATGATGGCAAGTGTCTGGCATTTGGATATTGTGCAGAAAAAAGTGAATAGGCCTGAAACAGCTATCTTTAGAAAGTCCTGTTTCGAAGCAAGGCTGGCCCGTGGCTAGCACCTGGGAACTTGGATTTTGGGAGGGTTTCTACCATTCCTAGAACTGGTAAGAATGGCTCACTGTGCCCAACCTGTTTATATGATATGGTTTATGTTAAAAACCTGGTTTCCTTCTGGGAATGTGGCACTTGGTATATGCCAGCCAGAGGGTGCCTACATGACCAGCCTCCCCTAAAAACTCTGGGCACTGAGTCTCTAATGAGCTTTCCCAGTAGACATTTCATATGTGTCATCGCAACTCATTGCAGGAGGAATTACACAAGTCCTATGTGACTCCTCTGGGAAAGGACTCTGGGAAACTTGTGCCTGGTTTCTTCTGGATTTTACTCTATGTGCCTCTTCCCTTTGCTGACTTTACTCCGTATCTTCTTGCTGTGATAACTCTTAGCTGTGAGTCCTCCTGGCAAATCCCTGAACCCGGAAGTGGTCCTGGAGATCCCATCCACATATATTTTGCAGGGAGAAACAAAGGCTTTACTAACATGAAGCATGACAGAAGAGCCAAAGATGGGTCCCAGAATTTTGGCCTGAGTAGCTAGAAGGATGCAACTGCAATTAATGAAATCACAAACAAACAAAAGAAAAAAGGGCGAGGAGTAGGTTTGGAGGGAAAGGGGTTTAACTTTTGAGATGTTAAGATCTTTATCATACTTTCAAGTGGAAAGGTTTCTCATTCTCCACATTGCCATTTTTTATAACATTTGTCTGATTATGTCAAACCCCTGCTTAAAGTTCTTCAATGGACTTGGATAAAAATCAGAACTCCCTAGCATGGCATTCATGATCTTATCTCATCTTTCTACCCCTCAAATCCTCGAGTCCCACCACACTAAACTACTCGTTCCATGCCTTTGCACCCCTGTGCAGTGTTGCCTCTGCTGGGAATGCTTTCCCATTACTGTATTTTTGCTTCGCACCTTCCAATCATCAACTCTTCCGGAAGTCCTTTCCCAGTCTGGGTGATATACCCCCTTTTCAGTGCTACTTCAGTCCTCCTCCCTAGGAACCATGGAAGGACTGTGTCTAACTTCTACGCCCAGCACAGTGCTTGGCAAGCATCATAAGGGCACAATATACAGTTACTGAGTGAATAGATAAATGACTATCTCTTGGATCCTAATGGCCAAAACCCAGATAAGTCAGGCAATTCTACTACAACTTCTCTGACTTAATGGTGGTCCTGGGCAATTCTCACTGAAACACTGAGAACAATCTCAGAGGCCCATTTCAGGTGCCTATTTATGGGTAAGTGAGCTGGCCAAAAATCTCAATGCTTTTCAAGTGGGGAGATGTAATATTTAAAAACCCTTTTTCAGAACTTGGTAGAGTATACCTATGCACATTTGGCCCAACATCATCTTTAGATGTAGTTCAACACCTACAATAGAAAAACAATTCTGGATATTTTTGATAACCAACTTAAGGAGGGTCAATATCCACAAAGACATTGTGGCAGAAGATTTAATTATTTTAGACTTTCCTCCACAGTTACAATTTAAAGTAGTTTTTGGCTAATGAAAAATACAATCAAGCAGAAAGTTCCATCTCTGACACACTTAACCAAAGTTTCAGTGCATCCTCTGACTATACACCTTATTCTTGAGTTGTCAACACAGCAGATTTCATTTGTCAGTAATGAAAACGAGAGTAGCAACAATAAAAAAAATAGCTGTCACGTACTGAGCATTTCCTTTGTGCCAAATACGGCCCTAAACCTCTAATGTATACTTAACTCTTAATTCTCACCACAACCTTGAGGTTTAGTGCTACAATTAACCCCCATTTTAGAGATCAGGAAACAGAAGGATCAAAAGATACCCAAGATCCAAAGCTAGTTGTTCAGCTATTTAAAACACTGGCTCCAAGACTCACATTCTTAATTACTGCATTACTCCAGCATGATATTAGTTCTCAAAGTTGGTATACAGATCACCTGCTACGGTTACCACATGCCCCAGGCATATGCATTTCGACAAGCTCTTTCAGTGATTAGAGATCACTGGTATCTTAAAAAAACAAAACAAAACAAAACAAAAAAACACACAAAAAAACCACACACACACAAAAAACACTGTATTTGGAGATGAAAGACATGGAAGTAAGTTTTTTTAACACCCTAACCAGCCCTGAGCTAGTTACTTTGAAAATCTTATCTTCCTAATTTGTCAAATGAAGGGATTGGATTAGATAATTTTAAAGGAACTTGCTAGATCCACAACAGTTTAATTCTGAATATTGAATAGGTATGAACATTAAATGTGTTATTAGCCAAAATAAAAACTTAAAAAATCCTACTTACCCTGTTTACTGTGGATGCAAGTGCCTGAAGAACAGCCACTTTATCCCTAAGAATAAGAATCACAAGTTAACCCACATCAGAGCTCTTCATAGTCACAAAGTAAACAAATGATTTTACTCAGTGCACTAGCCAGTAACAAACTTCAGGTCTCGCCTAGAGCTGGTTCTTATCTCTCAAAGTCATTAGAATAAGTTAAAAAAGGAGAAAACTGTCAGTTCTTTTGCCTGTAGGTAGTACGTGTTCCTTTCTTTGCTTTGCCTGCCCTTTCTGGCCCGGTCCCTAACATCATCACCTGGGGCTAGTGATTGCCATCCTCACCTCACACAACTATCTTGCTCACTTCCCCTATCTGCTTTTCTAAGGATTCTTACTACAGCTTTCTGGACTACTCTTGCCTTTACTCTCTAAATTGGTGGCTCTTAATCCAGTTATATGGGAATAAATCACAGGCTACACTCTGGACCTGGTGCATCAGAGCTTCTAAGATCCACAGAGGACTGTCACATGCATCCTTACTGAACTTCCAGATGATTCTGATGCAGTCTTCTGGTTTAACCCTCTCAACCATATATAAATTTTTGATAAGAATTACAGGCAGTTGTCCACTGCACCTTTGGATAGAGACCTTCACTGAACTACTGGAAAATGTTTCACTGGAATGAATGGCAAACAAGATAATTCAGTTTCAAATGTATTTTTACTCCTATGTTAGATTTAATGTGCTTCGTTCCCAATAGGGAATTACAGTAAATTTAATAAACCAAGAGTGGTTTTCTAAACTAAGTATAAGAATATAAGTCATCTAAGACAAAAGAACATACAAGAAATATGTATCATATTAACTGATTAATTCCCTGAGCTATATAATATCCACTGGATTTTTCTAACCATTTTTAAGTCACATTAAATTTTAAGTCACATTGAATTTCAGCAAGTGCGATAAAGAAACATTCTCTCATCTCTCAGTATTCCCTAACCAGATCTTTTATTAGCATATTTAAGCCTAACCAAGTTAGCAAATCTTACTAACATATTTGACAAACACCAGTGAAAAATTTACGATAGATTACTCATTAGCTCCTTTTAAAAAAACGGTTATTTTAAAAAGTAATCACAATGAATATATTATGTATTATCTTTAAAAAAATAAATCAGAACATTACAGGTTACGCTAAAAGTGTCCAGTGTCATCTTGTGACCCTACCCATCATGAGTTGGCATTTATATTTCCAGAACTTTTTAAGGTACTTTTACACACATTTCTCTCTAAAAAATGTGTGTAAAACATACGAGGGTTCTCCAGAAAGTATCCAGCCATTGTTAATACTATTTTTCATATTACATGGCTGGATACTTTCTGGACAGCCCTCATATACTGTCATTCTGCCTGATATGTTTACCTAAGTTTGACCGTACTATGCCTGTTATTACCCATAGAGCTAATTAATTCCTTTAAATGTTAACTTACTGCGTGATAACCATTTTTTATTATCCATTCACTTTTGAATGGGCACTTGGGTTATTTCGACTTGTTACTATTCCCAAGTTATAAAGAACATTCTCATCCATGTCTCTTTGGTATATATGCAAGTGTTCCTCCAAAGTGGCTAGCCAGTGAGGTATGGATATTTTAAATTCTGATTCTGCCAAATTTCCCTACAAAGAGTTGTTCCAATTTACTGGCCTATCAACAAATGTATTCAAGCACCTATCTGTCCACATCATTGTAGGCTTTACCTTGCACTTAACCCATGCATTGATCATAACTGGGCTCCATGTCTTCTCTAAATAATTACACAATTCAAATTAAGAAAGCATTTTTCTTTAAAGCCTTTTTAAATGAACCCAAGTTTTCAGGTCATACTGAGAATTCCAAGACCTGGCTTTTTGAGGGACCTTTAAATGCATTCAATAATATATTACAACAAGCATTTTTTTGAAGTTTTTGTTCTTAACATATTCAACAAATGCTGAATAAATAAGGCAATTTGTTCAAGGATCTATCCAGTGAATAAAAAAGCTAAATTTTACAGTCCGCATTATTTATATTACCCTAGCTCATTAGGGATCATAAAGAAAATAATTTTGCCTGGTTTCCCAACCATATAAGAGAGAACTTCCTTTAAGAAATTATTCTAATGATGATGTTCATGTTTAACTAATATTATGTTAACACACTTAGTTCAGAAGGTATTTTAACTGTTCTTTTAAGTAAATCTCATTCCTTATTCACTGACCACTCTCCACTTTCTTCTTTGTTTTCTTTAAACTCCCCAGCTCCACACCCCCAGCTCTTCAAATGCTCTCCCATTGCTCTTCCTGTCACTGATGCCTTACATTCCCTCACGTTTCCCTCATAATTAGCACTAAACCACTTAATGAATGAACATTGACAGAATACTTACCAAGTTTTCTTTTTTGGAATGACTACTTCTTCAATCCCTTAATGTGAAAAATAAAACAACATGAATCAGTTTCCTAATACTACAACTACTATGGAATACAATGTATTGATATAAAAATGAAATTACTTCAACAGATTTTTTACATACCTGTCACATCACTTCCTTCAACCTTTGGGAGGGCTGCACTTTCAGAATAAAATCTGCAAAAAATAAAAGCCAATAAAGCTAATAATATTCATTAATGAAGTTCCCAGCTCACCTCCACCTATGTGCATTTTGAGCCCAAATTTTCCAATTATCATGGATTAAACTGACTGGATAACTCACGTCACTGCATGCTAAGATGACGTGGCCTATACAGCACGTTCAATGGATATGAAATATGGACATGAGATGGTCAAAATTTCTTGAAGCAATCTTTATGCAGAATCAGAAGAAAAGGAAATCTGTAATGGCAGTTCAACAATTTGAGCAGCTGGTTTGAAATCCAAGGGACTTTCGACACTGGAAACCTAAAACACTTTGAGGTTAAGAACAATTCAGTGAGCTCCTGCTTTTATATAGATAATGTGCTGGTAGTAAAGGCTTACCTCACTTAAAGTTAATTACGAAGAAGCTAATGACCCATGTTGCCTTCCACTTCCTTCAACAATCAGGAATGTGCCAAATATATAAGGCGTAATTTAGACTTGGAACTACTGATATTTTCTATTTTCAGAGGCTCAGGTATGAAATTATTTTTCACCCAAAATACAAAATCACTAGTCCACACAACTGAGTTTTAGAAGTCCAATGCCCTATCCATTGTGTCACAGAGCCAGGTCTGAGTTTTGCTTTTTTTTTTTGAGACAGGGTCTTGCTCTGTTGCCAGGGCTAGAATGCCTGGTGTCATCATAGCTCACTGCAACCTCAAACTCTTGGGCTCAAGTGATCAAAATGTTCTAATCACACTAAAAATACAGTTTACACACCACACAGATAATATGCATGAATAATATAATTTTGCATATTTCCCTATCCTAAATGGCATTGGTACTATTCAAAAAATTGTCAAGGTGTGATTACATAGAAGAATACTTTTTCCACTAGTATCTGGTCAGGCATCATTTCAAAATAAGAATACCTCTCTCTGCTAAAGACATTTCAGAAAGAGATCACCTTTTTTATTTTTTTTTTGAAGAGAGGGTCTCACTATTTACTCAGGCTGGTCTTGACTCCTGGACTTAAGGGATTCTCCCACCTCAGTCCCATCAGTAGATGGGATTACAGGCATGTACCACCTTCCAGACTCATAGAAATCAACTCTTTCAAATCATGCTATTTGTTTCCCACGACATTAGAACAGAGATCACCACTATCTTGAGGATGAATGCTGAGAGAGATGTTGCTGTCAGGCAAAGAAAATGAGTAGAAAAATGTCAACAATGGATACTAGTAGGAAAAGGAGGACTGGGACTGAATGGCAGCATAAAGGCTTCTCCAATACTATGTGGAGGGTACATTAAAAAAATATTGTAAATTACACATCTCACTTATTCCTCACAAATCTTTCCCATGGTTATTACCAGCTCCAGTCTACAAATGAGAAAATGTCTACTATCACCCAACTGAAGGACTGGCTGACACTAAATCTAAGATTAGGTTTGTCTCAAATTTTCACTACATGTTACTGCCTCTCATATTTCCACAATGCCACGGTTTGCACTGAATGAAAAAAAAAATCACATAAATGGGTGATACGAGTTCCAAGCTGTAACAATCACAGATTAAAAGGGTGTGGTCAGATCTTTTAGATTTTTCTGCTTTTATGAAAACCTGCTAACTTCCTTGGCCAAATGTCTCCGCAACACCTTGCACACAGTGGCGATCATCGGCTGCCTTTTATTTGGGAATATCTGAGGAGTTCTCCTCGTTCTTTCTGGTTGGGTTAAAATGAGTCAGGACAGATATATATATATATATATATATTTTTTTTTTTTTTTAATTCGGGGTAGAGTTGCTAACAGCCACATTCACTGAAATGTGAGTTTCACGAGAGCAAAGTCCTAGTTTTGCGGACAGTTCTAACTCCAGAGTATTGCAAACAATAAATAATCTCCCTAATGAATAATTGCGTTTCAAACCCTATTTCAAAGCACCAGCTCCGCGTGCCTGTGCTTCGGCGCACACGGCCGTGAGAGCGCGCATGCGTAAACCACTCCATTGTACCTAGTTCAACAGTTCTCGGGGAGACACCGGACTAAGTTGACTCCGCGGTCTTCTTCGTGGATCCCTCAAGCTTCTCTTACCTAAAATTGGATATCCGTTCACACAGTCCTGCCCGTTGACGCTTCAGCGGCAGGCCAAGCCTGGTACCGATCTTCCACAAGCAAACTGAAGCAGCCACCGCCATCTTTGGCTTCTTTGCAGAGCATGTTGGGAAAGCATGCCTCCGACCTTCAGGGAAGCGGGAGGAGGGAAGTGGGCGGGAACAGCTCAGCTATTGGCGGAGACGGAACAAGACCAGAGGAATATGAAATTGGAGGTTGACTTTACCACGGAAGGTAAAGGCTCAATAAGCTTCATTTGCCTCGAGGAAATTTTCCTACACGATTATTTTAATGTCTTATATGTCTTTGATTGTTTTCAAAATAAGAGGGCTAGTTGAGAATCGTACAACTATTTTCCTTTCCCCCTGCAGCAAAAATGATCTCGTCCACGTAAATCTCATTCCAGCTAGCGGTTCCCGGAGGCATGCGCAGTTTGAATCACATGGTGGCTGCGGGCTTGAGGCTGAGTTGAGAATTTATCGGTGGTAACTCTAACATCTCTCGGGGTGTCGAAACTCAAAACTGACCTGCAGGATGTTGGGCTCCAAGAACATGCCCTGGCGGCGACTACAGGGTATTTCCTTCGGGATGTATTCGGCTGAAGAGCTCCGGTAAGGAGTTGGTGGGAAGCATGCACAGCCTGGATCTTGAGGTTGGCGTCATAAACTACTGTTCCCAGAGGCTTTTGGACCCAGCCTATCTTCTGAGTCTATGGTTGTCTGGCATGTGTCCTGCTGGGATCCGTAGTTCGGGGAATGTTCCCGGGCCGACGTGCACTGCCTAGAATCCGGTGGGGCTGGGGAGAGAGAGGTGTCCGGGTTTGCAGCCTTATCATCTGCCAGTCTCCTCGTTAATTAAGAAGCGTTTGTAGAATTACCATATTGCCCTCGAGGCGGCTAATCTGTAAAATGATTATCCTTTAAGTGTCAGTTCAGGCGGTAAGTTTTCTTTGCTGGAACCCCGCTATCGTCTCCGCCTAGTTACTAAGTCAAGGGAACTCTGCTTAGTCCTCATTTTGATCACGGTAGCATTTGAGCCTGCATACACCACACCCTTGCAACTCTCCTCTCTTCTAGGACCTTATTGGCTTCAGAGTCTCCTATTTCTGTGGCAAGTACTTATTCCTCTCTTACTTGATCCAGTCTATCCACTAACAAACATTTATTGAGCATCCAGTTTTTGCCAGGCACTAAGCTAGGCGTTAATGACACATTGGTGAACAAAGTGCATTCCTCTTTTTACTCCTTAAATAATATTGTTCCTCAAAGTTCTATTCTGATAATGTTGCTTTTCTTATCCTAAATATTGTGCCTAGACAATCTCACCACTTTCATGATTGATAGTCTCAAAGTTAAATCTCCAGCCCAATTTCCTTTCCTGATTTTCAGACCCATTTATTCAGCTGTCTGGACCTCTACTTGAATTTCACACAGAGTTCTTAAACTCATATATCAAACACTCAACATGCACCATCTGCCCAAAAGGTTAGAGAGACTTGCCCCTCCAAAATGGTGTACCTAATCTATTGCAAAATGGTCACTAGAAACCAAGAAATAATTCTAGACCTCTCTCTCCTGACATCTAATTTATTTATTGACCTCTTACTGTGTGTCATCTACATATCTCTTTGTTCTATACCCTGCTTTTTATCCTGATTGCTACTGCAATAGACTGTGATAGATCCAGCCCTTATCTCATGCTTCAATTGTTTTTTCCTTCCACCTCCCTCCCAAAACCTGTCCAGTCCATCCTCCACACCTCTGTCAAAATTACTCTTCCCAAGTGCAAGTACAGTCATGGTACTGTCAGCTTTAAAACTCTCTAAAGGTCCTCCGTTTCTCTCAGATAAAGGATGCTTTCTTAGTATAGGCTACAAAGTCTCCCATGATGAGGCCAATGCTGATTTTAGTTATAATATCATCCCTTCTCTAGCCCTGTTAAACTACTTGCACATTCCAGAAATTGCCTATGTGTTTCGGCATTTAGGGCTTTCTTCAAGCTATTTTCAAATGTCCTTTCTGCAAGAGGGACCACTTCCCTCTGTTCCTCACTCAGTGTACACACCCAAAGGCTGAGTGCAATGCCTCTCTTTTTCTGAGGTCATTTTGCATGTAGTACAGTTGTCTCTCATGGTGCCTTAATTACTTTTTGTGCTTTTGTATATTTGTCTCCCTCCACTAGCCTTGAGCTTCCTGTATGTCTGATTCCTTTCCTTTATCCTCAAGTCTGAATAAATGGATGAATAAACTCCTGAGCTAAAGCTGTGGCATCGATGGTAACAGTGTGCTAGCCCCAAAATTCACATTGTCTCATCACCAGCCATAACCAAAACCAAAAATGTTTTAGATTGCCTGAATTTTTTGAGAGATAATTGTGGAATTTTCAAACAACAGCATGAGCAAATTTTTAAAACTTTTTTTAGAGACAGAGTCTCACTCTGTCACCCAGGCTGGAGTACAGTGGTACGGTCATAGTTCATCATAACCTTGAACTCCTGGGCTCAAACAATCCTCCTACCTCAGCCTCCCTAGTAGCTAGGACTACAGGTGCTCCATCATGCCTGGCTAATTGTTTTATTTTTTGTAGATATTTGGGGGGGTCTCACTATGTTGCACAGGCTGTTCTTGAACTCCTGGCCTCAAGCTATCCTTCTGCCTTGGCTTTCCAAAGTGCTGGGGTTACAGGCATGAGCCACTGCACCAGGCCAGCATGAGCAAATTTATACCTATCACTAACATTTTAGACCTGTTTGGGTCTAGGGTTGAGAAGTTTCCATAATTCTGCTACCTTTTACTATTCTAGATCCCCATCTCACTCAGAGTAAAAGCCAAGTCTTTAAAATGGCTTGAAAGGGACTTTTCTGGCCCCAGTTACCTCTCAGACCTCTCCTCTATTCCAGTTACCCTGCCTCTTTGCTGGTCCCAGATCACCACAGGCACACACCACCTCAGGACGTTTGCACTCACTGCTTCTTCTATAAAGCCCTCTGCCTGGGTGACTGCATGGCTTGCTCCTACATCTCATTCAGGCCTTTGCCCAAGTATCTCCTTAGTGTGGGCTTCTCTACCCCTGGCTCATCCTATCATTCCCCCTCCCTGTGTTATATTTCTTCATAGCACTTATTTAATTTGTTTTTTGTGTGTTTCCCTTCCCTTACACCCTTCCAATAGGGTGTAAGGCCCGTAAGCACAGGGATTCTTGTCTGTTTCCTTGGCACCTAAAACTATATCTGGCACATAGTAAACACTCAGTAGATGTGTTGAGCATATAAATAGATGGATGGAGGAGCTATCTGCTTAGCACTTGGTGCATTCAGTCCTTACTACACCACCACCGTTTGTGGTGGTACCTCCAGTTATAGGAAAGGAAATTCAGGCCCAGAGAATAAAATGTCTCTCTAGGAAGTAGCAGGGGTCATCCACAAACCTAACTCTGTTGGTCTCAAACTCAGTACTATCCAGTGGAATCCTTACTGATAGCCTCTCTTCTTCATCCCTTCTCTAGCCCCATCATGGTAAAGAGCGACTTTTTCCCCTACTCCAGCAGAGAGAGAGGAACTTTGTTCTAGGCACTATATTATATAAACATTATCTTCTAATCATCCTAAAAGAGCTGCCTCAATGCCCAAACTTTAGGTGAGAAAAAAATTTGGCAGTTATCAAAGGACATAATCAATAAAGAGAAAAGGCAACCCATGGAATGGGAGAAAATATTTGTATATCATAAATCTGATAAAGTATTAATATTCAAAACGTATAAAGAACTCCTATAACTTAACAACAAAAACAATTTAAAAATGGACAAAGGACTTAAGTAGACATTTTTCCAAAGGAGACATACAACTGGCCAATAGGCAGGGAAAAGCAAATAAAAACCACAGTGAGATACCACCTCAAACCCATTAGGACAGCTACTATCAAAAAACCAGGAAATAACAGGTATTGAGCAGGATGTGGAGATAGTGGAACCCTTCTACACTGTTGGTAGGAACATAAAATGATCCAACCACTATGGAAAACAGTATGGTGGTTCTTCAAAAAATTAAAAATAAGATTTACTCTATGATCCAGCAATTATTCTGGGTATATATCCAAAAAATTGAAAGTAAGGTCTTGAAGAGATATTTGTACACCTGTTCATAGTAGCGTTATTCACAATAGCCAAAAAGTGGAAACAACCCAGGTGTCTATCAACAGATGGATCGATAAACAAGATGTGGCATAGATATACAATGGAATATTATTCAGTCCTAAAAAGGAAGGAAATTTTGACATGTCCTACAACATGAATGAACCTTGAGGACATTATGCTAAGTGAAATAAGCCAGCGATAAAAGGGTAAGTACTGTATGAGTCCACCTGTACTGCGAGTAGTCAGATTAATAGAAGCAGAAAGTAAAATGGTGGGAGGGAGGGAGATGGGGAATTATGTCATGGGTACAGAGTTTCAGTTTTGTAACCTAAAAAAGAGTTCTGGAGGTGGATAGTGGTGATGGTAGCACAGTGCAAATGTACTCAATACCACTGAACTGTACTCTTAGAAATGGTTAAGATGATACATTTTATGTTGTGTGTATTTTATTACAATTTCAGAAATTAAGATTAACAAACAAAAGATAAGTAATTTGTTCAGTGTTAACGCAGTTCAAGGTTGCAGGTGGACTTTAGGTTTGTGGGAAGGGACCACACACACAACTATTGGGTTAAAAGTTTCTCATGAAATTAACTTACTGGCAGCAAGGTAACCATATAGGCAGATCTGTCTCCACGTGGCCTTGGCTTTCAGAGTGACCATGCAACATACAGTCTTCCGGATCTGAACAGCTTAGTTCTTGATGGACCGCCATCATTTTACATTCAGTACATAGCCACCATCATGAAGAACTTAACTCTATTTTTGTGCTTCATTAAAGGAATGTTTACAGCAGTAGTGAGCTCTCCTCCCCAGCAAGGCCCTGCCCTTAGGTTTCCTCTAGGGTATGAGACAAATGATTCATTTGTCCTTATCTTTATTTTCTAAATCATAAAAGAAATTAGGCTCTGTACAAAGTTGGCTTTGTATAAGTAGTTTTTAAAGTGTCCTA